TCTTGCAGATCAAAATGAAGTGATTTTTTGAAAAAAATGGTCCTATATATATTTATACATTATACTGGTTATATTTCGAATTAAACATACCAGGATTTTTGAGAATATAAAGCCCCTAACATCTTGACTAAGATCTTCAGTCCTAGGATCTTCAAGAGTGATACCTGAAACTCTTAGCAGAAACAATTAAAGAGTAGCAAATTCACAGCTAACAGAAAGAATATAAGGAATAAATAACCAATAGGAAAAAGCTTTTACTTTCAATATTCGGGTGGCGAAATGAATAAATGAGTGTTTAACACTAACCTTTCTTTATAGCACTATCATCCATTGCCTTGTACTCCATGTTCTTCAAAGCAAGCTCCACACCATAACCAGCTAAGCTAACATTCTCCCTTGCTCCAATGGCACCGCAGGGTCTAGTTTTGCCTTCACAACCCAAAGGTAATACTGGTCTAACAACATATGTAACTTTTCCCTGGAGGAAACCAAGGCTTCATTAGAATGCACACAACAAAAGCAGAAAGACACTACGAAATGGAATCCCCGGACAATAGAGCCTGAAGTTGCTTTATCAAGACTATAAGAAAAACACAACTGAACCCCATATGAGAACTTCTCAAACTCATGCCTCCTGCTCGAGGTAAACTTTCATTTTCTACCCCAATAACAAAATACGTTTTTTCAATAATGAAGGACAAGTTTCCCAGGAAAAAAGAGAGACCTCCTTGGCTGCTTTAGCAAGCGAGAGGTGAAACTTCCTAAAGCAATCAGTCCCAACAGCCCCATAGAGAACAGCAACTGGGCTTCCAGCTCTTGAATCAAAATGAACGTGATCAAAGTCGAAGAGCTCAGGCCCCTGAACAGCATCTCCAGCACTGGCATCCAACGAAATGCAGCTTAGAAAGAACAAATTGTGATCTTAACCAAAAAAAAAAAGAGAGAGAGAGTGTCAGTGCATACGCAGGAGCAGAAGCGAGCCAGGATTGAAGATCTGCAACATCGTAAAAGAGAGAGGAGCCAGTATCAACACAACAGCAGTCAGTCGCAGAGGGATCATCGCCGTGAGGGAAAGAAGACAGAGACTCATCAGCCAATTGGCGATAAAGCACAAGCCTGGGCGAGGCAGATCTCAAAGTAAGTGAGAAATGGAAGAGAGAAGCCACTGGTTGAGCTAACAGAGTCGAAGCCTGTTTAGATATCTTAAGAAGACAATCTCTAGCTGATTTGCAATCGGAATCACCAGTATCATCTCCATCGGAACCAAGCCAAGCATCAGTGAACTCCCAGAACAACTGCTTCGATTCTTTGGAAATCAACTCACTATATCACAACAAAAATCACTCAGATTCAGCTCAAGATCAGTATAAATGGTGATCGACAAAAGTAAGAAGAAGCATTACCCAGCCTCAAGGAGAAGAGGAGTACCCTGCCACTTGGCCTTAACCGCCACCTGAACATTCTTAGGTCTCCGATTCTGAGCGTTGACGCCGACGACGACGAAGAAGAGAAGAATGAGATAGAGCCAAGATCTCAGATTGGTGGTCCCCATCTTTTCCGCGACGGAGAAGAAGAAAAACCAGAATCAAGCCGGGAAATATTCTTACTAACTCAAAAGAGGGTAATTTCGTAATAACAAACAAAAGCCACGACATCGAGTATGACGTGGAAGTCACTGATTGGTTGAAAAAAGCTAGGGTTTTACGAGTTTTTGGAGGCTTCGGTGTTGTTCACCGTCGAGATCATGCGAAGGAATGCTCCTCAGGCGGAGGATACTATCGCTCACTGCGTCGTCGTTCAGAAACTGCAATTCCGGTAACAACGGCGACGCTATCTCTTCTACATCTCCGTTCTCTACCTTCACGAAACCTTCTTCTTCAATCGCTCCCGGAGATTTCCTCGTTCGCGAATGGAAAGACTGGTTTAAGCAGCGAGATGTGAAACAGAGCCATCAGTTAATCGATCGAATCTTTGATATCCTTCGAGCTCCTTCTAACGATGGAGATGCTCGAGCTTTTTACCTCCACCTCTCCAATCTCCGACTCCGTCTCACTGAGAAATTCGTCCTCGACGTGCTTACACACACTCGTTACGATATCCTCTCATGTCTCAAATTCTTCGATTGGGCTGCTCGTCAGCCTGGATTTCATCACACGCGTGCTACTTTTCATGCTATCTTCAAGATCCTTCGTGGTGCTAAGCTTGTGACTCTTATGATTGACTTCTTGGATCGAAGTGTTGCTTTTGAAGGTTACCGTCATTCTCTTCGTCTCTGTGATGCTCTCGTTGTTGGATATGCCGTCGCTGGTCGTACTGATATAGCTCTTCAGCACTTTGGTAATATGAGATTTCGAGGTTTGGATTTGGATTCTTTTGGGTATCATGTACTGCTGAATGCACTTGTGGAGGAGAAGTGTTTTGATACTGTTGATGTCATCTTCGACCAGATCTCCGTGCGCGGCTTCGTCTGCGCTGTTACGCATTCCATTTTGGTGAAGAAGTTGTGCAAGCAAGGGAAGCTTGATGAGGCTGAAGCTTATCTTCGTGCCTTGCTCCCCAATGATCCTGCTGGATGCGGTTCTGGCTTAGGCATATTGGTTGATGCTCTATGTTCCAAACGAAAATTTCAGGAAGCTACTAAGTTGTTAGACGAGATCAAAGTGCTGGGAACGGTGAATATGGACCGTGCTTATAACATTTGGATTAGGGCGCTTATTGGAGCTGGATTCTTAAACAACACTGTGGATTTCTTGCAAAAGATTAGTCCTTTAGAAGGTTGTGAACTCGAAGTTTTCAGGTATAACTCTATGGTCTTTCAACTTTTGAAGGAGAACGATCTTAATGGTGTGTATGATATCCTGACGGAGATGTTGGTACGTGGAGTTTCGCCTAATAAGAAAACGATGAATGCAGCTTTATGCTTCTTTTGCAAAGCTGGATTTGTAGATGAAGCCCTCGAGTTATACCGGTCAAGGTCAGAAATTGGCTTTGCTCCTACCGCCACGTCTTACAACTATCTGATTCATACCCTTTGTGCCAATGAAAGTGTCGAACAAGCTTACGATGTCTTGAAAGGGGCAATGGACCGAGGGCATTTTCTTGGTGGAAAGACATTTAGTACACTTACCAATGCCTTGTGCTGGAAGGGGAAGCCTGACATGGCAAAGGAGCTGGTTATTGCTGCCGCAGAACGGGACTTGTTGCCTAAACGTATAGCTGGTTGCAAGATTATATCAGCTCTTTGTGATATTGGGAAAGTGGAGGACGCTCTTATGATTAATGAGCTATTCAATAAAAGTGGTGTAGACACCTCCTTCAAAATGTTCACCAGCTTGATATACGGCTCAATCACACTAATGAGGGGAGACATAGCTGCTAAACTTATCATCAGGATGCAGGAAAAGGGCTACACCCCGACCCGTAGTCTCTATCGAAATGTTATTCAATGTGTTTGTGAGATGGAAAGTGGTGAAAAAAACTTTTTTACTACTTTGCTAAAGTTTCAGTTGTCTCTTTGGGAACATAAGGTTCAGGCCTACAACTTATTCATTGAAGGAGCTGGGTTTGCAGGAAAACCAAAACTTGCAAGATTAGTGTATGATATGATGGATAGAGATGGGATCACGCCCACACTAGATTCAAACATTCTCATGCTTCAGAGTTACCTTAAAAATGAGAAAATCGCTGATGCTCTTCACTTTTTCCATGACCTGCGAGAAAAAGGTAAGACCAAGAAAAGACTCTACCAGGTTATGATTGTTGGCCTCTGTAAAGCAAATAGATTGGATGATGCTATGCATTTCTTGGAAGAAATGAAGGGCGAAGGACTACGGCCTAGTATCGAATGTTACGAAGTAAACATACAAAAATTGTGCAACGAAGAAAAGTATGATGAGGCAGTTGGATTAGTCAACGAATTTAGGAAAAGTGGGCGTCGTATTACAGCTTTCATCGGTAATGTCCTTTTGCATAACGCAATGAAGAGCAAAGGGGTGTATGAAGCATGGACACGGATGAGAGATGTAGAAGACAAGATCCCTGAGATGAAGTCACTTGGTGAGTTGATAGGAGTATTTTCGGGACGAATCGATATGGAAATAGAACTGAAGCGGTTAGATGAAGTTATAGTGAAATGCTATCCTCTTGATATGTACACATACAATATGCTGTTGAGAATGATTGTAATGAACCAGGCAGAAGATGCATATGAGATGGTAGAAAGAATAGCACGGAGAGGGTATGAGCCTAATGAGCGGACTGACAGGATCCTTGAACGGGCTGACCGCATACTAGAGGGACGGAATTCAAGGTCAAACTTAGGGAGGAATGATTGGAATAGCAGACAGAGGCAACTTGAATGATGAAAAGTATGTCACGGAGAGGTCAGAGTTGTTACATATAGGGAATAAGGGAAGGATCCTTGAATTGATTTGGATTCAATATCTGTTTTGGATTTGGATCATCAGACAACAGGTGAATGAGAAAGCCAGAGTCTTCTTTTTGAAGCTTTATTAGTACTGAATGTTGCAACTTGCAGGAGCTTTTGTCTCTGGATTGCAAAAGATTGGTGGCTACTATTTTCACAGAAGCTTTTTTTTTCAGTAAAGATGGATGTGTCATTAAAGACACTTAGGGAATTGGGTAGTATCAGCTTCAGATTTCCCATTATGTACACAATTGTTTTGTAGTCTTTCCTAGTAGAAACACACAACTCAGAGAGAGAGATTTCAACAATTTTGTCAAATTCTTCATTTGTTGGTAAGGAAAATTAATGGTGCTTGCCCACCTTGTTTCGGAAATTGGTGTTTGTATTACATATTTACATTTGTTTACAATTACTTTAGTATTTCATCTAATTCGTCTTTATAATAGTATAGATATAAAATATGATAACATCACTCTTTTTGGCTAAAGACAAAAAAAAAAGTAGTAGCATAAACACAAAAGTAATTGAAAAATAAAACAATAGGGGGATTACAAGGATAATTTTAAAGAAGAGAGAGAGAGAGAGGAGATTCGGGATTACATATAATCACACCATTAAACAAAGAAAGAAATGTGTGTACTGTGTACTACAGTTTAACATCATTTGTACTGCATAATTAAAGACCCCCACGTACATACTGACGACATACACCAAACCAGAGAGACTTACATTACATGACTGTTTGTCTGTTTCTATGAAAACATCTGCATTCTTACAAAGAAGAAGAACATTGGAAGAGATGAATCAGGTAATTAAGAAGCTGTAAATCCTGTCTCACAAGTTTTCTTCTTCTCTCCAAAAAACAATAATTTGTTTTTCTCTTCTTCTCTGGCTCGCTCTGGTTCTTATCATTTTCAAATTCTTCTGTACTGCAGATATATACGACCTTTTCTCTTCTAATAACTTGCTGTGTGACCTATGATTCCCTGAACCTCTTTTTATTTTATTTTTAATCTTCAATCATTTTACTAATATTTAAAATTAAAAGTTTTTGTGCAGCTTCATTGCATTGTATTATTTATTACTGCTTCTGTGGTTGACTTTATTAGGCTACCTTCCCTATATATATATATAAACATATCATTGTCATGAATCATGATCATCTTGTTAACTTAATTAGGGTTTAGACTTTAATTAGCAAATTCTGAGTTTCACTAGAACCATCTGTGTAAGAATATGTCTTCTCAGCCGAATCATCAGACTTCAATATCAAGTTTACTTCATGATCGCTTGCATATCCCTCCTGCAGAAACAATCGTTGAGAAACACTCCTCCGCAGAGAAGGACGACACTTGTCAATCACAAAGAAAAAGGAAAGAACCAGTTTTACATGAGGTTGATGGCTCAAGTAGTGGTGCATCAAAGAAACAAGACCATAACGCTAAGGAGCGTTTAAGGAGGATGAGACTTCATGCCTCTTACCTCACTCTCGGCACTCTTCTTCCTGATCATTCTTCTTCTTCCAAGGTTTTCATCATTTTGTTTTTTCACTACAACTTAGGTATGTTCTTGTGGTTGTTTGAGCTATATATAACTTGTCTTGCTGAAATGGCAGAAGAAATGGTCTGCACCGTCTATAATCGATAATGTGATCACTTACATTCCCAAGCTACAGAATGAAGTTGGAGAGCTAACTCTTAGAAAGCAGAAGCTTGTGGAGTTAGAGAGACGGGGTCCTTCCATTCGAGCAATCTCGGTTCTTGAATTGGGGGAATCAGGTTATGAGGCTGTTGTACAGATATGCTTGAAGAAAGAAAACGAAGATGAGTTCTCGAACTTGCTTCATGTAATGGAGCTGCAAGGTTTGAGTGTTTTAAGTGCCTCTACTTCTCAAGTTTGCCGAGAGCAAAGGGTGGTTTGTTACAACTTCCATGTCAAGGTACTGTCTCTCATCTTATCTTCTTCATTTCTCTTTAGACAATGTGTTATAGTAAGTAGAGTCACAATTCTTGGGTATATAAGTTTTAGACATGAACATGAACAAATGTTACCTTTCTTCTCCAACCAATATACAAGGTAGGATTTTGTTAAGCTAAGCATGGGACGATTATGTTAAGATTCTATAAGGTTAGAAATGAATGTATATATAGGACTAATTGATGGTTTATAATTAAGTTCATGATGAACCAGTGGGTTTTCTTAAGATATTGATTCTATTGGTTAATTGGAGAGAGACTGTTTCAACCTCAATAGATCCTGGTTTTGAGAGTGGCATTGTGTATAAAGAGGAATGATTTACATATGTTTTCATGTATTATCGACAGCCGATCAATGGACCAGAAACACTAAACTAAATTCATAAATAGTCTTTAGCAATAGTATGGCACTAACGAGTTGTTTCTTTTTGAACAATTATTAGATATAGTATTTACATATATTTGCGTGTTTTTTTGAGAGAACTAACAATTGCGAAATGTATATGGGAAAGTGTAGATGGATGAGAAGCCATGTGAAGGTGATGACTACATCACAGTGTTAAAGAACAACATCATTTCTTCGCTTCGTGACAACACAAAATGCAAATGAAATATATAGTGAGGTATAGAATCAACAGAATATCTTTGATGATGCATATCACAACTGCCATTCCTCTTCTTGCTCAGATCATGTTTAAATGGTTTCGTGTTTGAAATCATATTTAGATGTAGACGTTATGTCTATCCCCCTATGCAAAACCGCTAGTTATTAGTATGCATCAAGATCACGATTTTGAGTCTCGATGTAAGAAAAGAGGCCAATTTACATGCCCTGGTCTCGGATCCGAGAGGATTATGGACCAAAGGCCCATAGCTTCTTGTAATCCAAAAAGAAATTTATTTGTGATACTAGAAACCCATGTTGGTGATTTAGCTCAGTTTTTCAAGATAAGTTGTTAGAATGCCGAATAATGTTTTGGTCGGTTTCTAAAGATACTATTTTGAACTCGGTTAAGCAATGATTGTTTTAGGAAGACTGTACTAGAGTTCGGTCTCAATAAACCAGTTCGAAGAATATAAGTCGGATCAGCCTGACAATTTCACGAGCCGAGAGAAAGAGACAACATATTCAAGTATGACAACACATGGCACCGGAAAAATGCCGAGTTTGTCAGGCCAACCTTTGCAGTTTGCTAGAAATAAGTTGAGCATTGGACTATAGAGAGGCACATGATTCAATAGAGAGAGTAGTCCTGTACATACTACCTCAACATTTATATTTCATTTCAACTCTTAAATGAATGTAATAAAGGGTTTGAATGTACGTTACCAGCGTAGCGGACTAAACTATCATTGGTCTAAACTAATCTATTTTGGGGTAGACAAGACGCTGTCACAGACCAAATTTATGTAAAAGCGGTTTGTAGTTGGTTCGCACCACTACAGACTATATGAATGTTAAAACAAAAGAGATGGATTTGCCGGTCCCAACTACCGCAACAATTCCAATCCAAAGTATCTCATAACTAAAGATTGAGATCCTTGCATTAACAAATAGCAACAGTTAGTATCTCTGAATGGATTATGTATGATTATAATCGGACAAAAAGAACACTAACTTGTACAAAAAAACAACCGTGTACGTTAGAGTCGAAGCGTCACACAATGACATTGACCATTTTACCCTTCTTGTTGTTATTTCAGCAATTCCAATTTCCCCGACGCCTTTAAATGACATCGACCCCGAAAAGTAAATAAAGGAGAAGAGTCAAACCTGAGAATCTCTCTAAGAAGTAGAAGGAAGACGATGAAGAAGCGAACGATGTACGCATGGGGATCGGCGATTGTAATCTTCATAGTTCTTATGATCGTCACTCCCACCATCCCTCAATCTCAGGCTTACCACAATTTCGCCGATCAACGCTCCTTCTTCGGTATAGTTCTTCACTCTTCTCTTCTTCATAATCCCCTTTTGAATTTTAGGGTTATGATCTTACAAATCCATTCTCAGGGATTCCGAATGCTTTAAACGTCATCTCCAACTTCCCTTTCCTCATCATCGGCCTTATCGGTCTCATCCTCTGCTTTTACCCAGAAGATTACTTCAGATTTAGGTGCGTAATTTATATACTTCTTCTTTGTGAAATCAAAATCCAATTTAGTTAAAATCTGTTGTGTGTATTGAAACAGTTTGCGAGGTGAGAAAATAGGATGGACTTGCTTTTACGTTGGTGTGGCTTCTGTTGCTTTTGGATCTTCTTACTATCATCTTCACCCAAACGATGCTACTCTCCTCTGGGATCGTCTTCCCGTAAGCTCTTACTCTTTCTCTTCTCTGTTTGCTTTGTCTTGTTTTTGATTGCTTTTTATTTATATAGATGACTATTGCTTTCACATCAATCATGGCTATATTTGTAATCGAGAGGATTGATGAGCATAAGGGTACTTACTCCATTGTTCCTTTGCTTCTTGCTGGTCTTGTTAGCATTTTGTATTGGAGGTAAAGTCAATCCTTAAACTTTTAAGTGGTTTTAACTATACAATGTTGAGATAGAGTAAGCTCACATGAGGCTGTGATTGCAGGTTTTTTGATGACCTTAGGCCATATGCTTTAGTCCAGTTTGTTCCTTGCATTGTCATTCCGTTGATGGCTATTTTATTGCCTCCAATGTATACTCATTCTACGTATTGGCTTTGGGCTGCAGGTTAGTGCTCAGTGTTGTGTTGAAAGATCTTCAGTTTGCTCTGCATTCGAAGTTTTGTTACTTCTGGTTCTTATTCTAGGTTCAATTGGCTGAAATTGCAGGATTTTATCTCTTAGCCAAGGTGGAAGAAGCTGCGGATAAGCCTATATATAGCTGGACACATCATATTATTAGTGGGCACTCTCTGAAGCATTTGTGTGCCGCTATGGTCCCCGTCTTCCTTACCCTCATGCTTGCGAAAAGAACCGTTCAAACTGAGAGGTACATTCTTATTCTCATGTATATGAAACGACCCGACGTGGCATACCCATATTCTTGTCTCATTGTTTTATCTCATTTTGCTAAACACAGGATTAGCTTGTATAAGACATGGAAGATATCATGGACGAGGAGTAGAGAGAAGGGACCCGAGGAAGATAGGTTTGAGTATAGCTACTCCAACGTTGCAGTCGAAGAGACTCGGTAGATTATTTTGGTACAATGTAAGATCATCTTTTACTTTTGATAGTTGTGTTTTAAGATTATTGGCTTATAGAATTAGATATAGGTGGTAGAGGTTGATAATCCAGTTGGGTACTAATGTTACACCTTTTTCGTTAATACTCGAGCTGTAATCTTATCAAAATGCTACACTCTACCATTCATAATGCCCCTTTGTTTTCTTATGGAATGTCTGTCGTCTTTGATGTTATCTCTTGTGACTTAAGTTATTGAGATTGGTGAGACTCGATGTTCTTATTATCAACTTAAACCAAATCTACAGACCAAATCAGAGACAAGTTTGCCTAATTGACCATGAAACCATTGGAACACTTTTCTTAACACAAGTGTTTTCAGGATAGGCCGTTAAGTCTTCTAATAACAGAGACGACGCCTTGAATCCCTAACTTGCCATCTCCATTAGCCACCATTCCAGTGAACAACTGCTTGCTCAAAGCAGCACCAGGCATTGCTGCCTCTGCCGCCATTCCCAAATCTTTCACCATATACTCTGCAAACCCAGTCGCCTTATAATCCCTCATCACCATCATCTCCCCAAACAGCCGCATAACCGCCGATCCAGCTGCACCGTCCTTCACCGCCTCAAGCCATTTCACTGTATCTAAACCCGCCTTCTCCGCAAACACAATCCCTTCAGCAAGTCCAACCAGGTTGCTTGCAGCAGCGATCTGATTCCCGATCTTGCAGCTTTGCCCACTCCCTGCCCCTCCCATATAACTTACAGTCCCCATATTCTTCATCACCGGGGACAACCACTCCACGATCTCAGAATCTCCGCCGGCGAAAATCCCTAATGTCCCCTCGCGTGCCCCAGCGTCTCCACCTGATACCGGCGCATCTACCGCCCAACAATTCCTCTTACTCGCCTCCGCGTGTATTTCACGCGCCAATTCCGGCTTGCTACTAGTCATGTCCACTGTTACACCACCGGGTTTAAGACCAGAGAGTACACCATCTTCACCGAGAAGCAACGATCGGACATCGTTAGAGTTTCCAACAATCGTGAACACAACGTCGCTCATCTCCGCTAACTCTTTGGGGCTATTGGCTATGCGAGCTCCTTTGGTTCGCAGATCTTTTGATTTCCGGAGATCGCGAGCGTAGACGGTGACCAAGTAGCCTGCGGCGATAATATGAGAAACCATGGCCGATCCCATTATCCCGATGCCAATCCATCCTATTCGAGTCTTGAAGGATCGATGGGTTTCGGATATGATGTCTCCATTTCTACGTTTCCACAGAACGAATGAAGAATTTATGTGAGAGACGACGACGATCGGTTTAAAAAAAAAAAAAGTAAGCTTTACTAGGAACAAATTCTCAGGGGCTCCTCAAGCTCCAAATTTTGTCTCAAATACTCCTCAATGGTAAAAAGACAAAATTACCCTTAATGAGGGTTGATTTCGGGTGATAAAGGTTAAATACAATTAAATCGGTAAATGTTCAACGAAAAACACAATAGCTCAGTGGTTGCGAGCTCCATGCGCACGCACGCGCCCCCAGGGTTCGAATCCTTTTATACGGGTTGTAACTGGTACAACTAGGGAATATTCGGGTACAACTAGGTTGTGGTACAACTAAGGTATGGTACAACTAGGAGGTGGTACAACTAGGTGGTACAACTAAGGTCTGGTACAACTAGGTGGTACAACTAGGTGGTACAACTAAGGTCTGGTACAACTAAGAGAGTACAACTAGGAGGTGGTACAACTGGTATCCTAGTTGTACCACGTATACCTAGTAAAGGGGTAGTTTCGTCCTTTTATTAAAAGGAGGAGAGTATGTGGATTAGAGGAGAGTATGTAGATTAATTCTTTGACTCTGAGGAGCAATTGAGATTAGTCTCCGCTTTACTACTTCACTCAATTTTTGTTTATTTTAGTTATTTTATTCAATTTGGTTTTTGATATAGATGACTATCGCATTCACATCAATCATGGCTATATTTGTAAACGAAAGGATTGATGAGCATAAAGGGTACTTACTCCATTGTCCCTTTGTTTATTGCTGGTCTTGTTAGCATTTTGTATTGGAGGTAAAGTCAATCCTTAAACTTTCAAGTGGTTTTAGTGATACAATCTTGAGATAGAGTAGGCTGACATGAGGCTGTAATTGAAGGTTTTTCGATGACCTTAGACCATATGCTCTAGTCCAGTTTGTTCCTTGCATTGTCATTCCGTTGATGGCTATTCTTTTACGTCCAATGTATACACATTCCACTTATTGGCTTTGGGCTGCGGGTTAGTGCTTGGTGTCATGTTGATATCTTCAGTTTGCTTTGCATCTGAAGCTTCGTGACCTGTAGTGCTTCTTCTAGATTTCATTTGGCTGAATTGCAGGATTCTATTTCTTAGCCAAGGTTGAAGAAGCTGCGGATAAGCCTATATATAGCTGGACTCATAACGAGAGGTACATTCTCGTATCTATGTGAAATGAGCGAACATGAAAGACCCATATTCTTGACTTATGCTTTACCCCATTTTGTTAAACTCAGAATTAGTTTGTATAAGACATGTAAGATATCATGGACTAGGAGTAGCTGGACTCATAACGAGAGATACATTCTCGTATCTATGTGAAATGAGCGAACATGAAAGACCCATATTCTTGACTTATGCTTTACCCCATTTTGTTAAACTCAGAATTAGTTTGTATAAAACATGTAAGATATCATGGACTAGGAGTAGAGCGCAGGGATCCGAGGAAGAAAGGTTTGAGTATAGCTACTCCAACGTTGCAGTTGAAGAGACTCGGTAGGGTATTTTGGTGACTCGTATAATGTAAGACCTTTGATAGTCGTGTTTAAGATTATTGGTTAACAGGAATGACTTATAGGAGGTAGAGGTTGGTAATGTTACACCATTCATAGTGCCTTTTGTTTCTTATCGGTTATGTTTGTCATTCTTTGATGGTATTTCTTGTGTAAACTGTAGTTCTCGAGATTGGTGAGACTCCATGTTCTTATTAGCAACTTTGGTTCAAGAAGCAAACATACTGACCAAATGGAAAACAAGTTTGCCTAGTTAACAACACTAGTGTTATCAGGATATGCCGTTAAGTCTCCTGATAACAGAGACGACGCCTTGAAATCCCAACTTCCCATCTCCATTTGCCACCATTGCAGAGAACAACTGCTTGTTCAAAGCAGTTCCAGGCATCGCCGTTGCCGCGTCCGCCGCCATTCCCAAATCTTTCACCATGTACTCCGCAAACCCCGTCGCCTTATAATCCCTCTCCGTCATCATCCCCCCAAAAAGCCGCATAACCGCAGATCCAGCAGCACCGTCCTTCACCGCATCAAGCCATTTCACCGGATCTAAACCCGCCTTCTCAGCAAACACAATCCCTTCAGCTAGTCCCACCATGTTGCTTCCTACACAAATCTGATTCCCAATCTTACAGCTCTGTCCACTCCCTGCTTCTCCCATATACCTCACAATTCCCATCGTTTTCATCACCGGAGACAACCACTCCACAATCTCGGAATCTCCGCCGGCGAAAATCGTTAGCCTCCCCTCACGTGCTCCAGCATCTCCACCCGATACCGGCGCATCCACCGCCCAGCAATTCCTCCTCCTCGCCTCCGCGTGTATCTCACGCGCCAATCCCGGCTTGCTACTAGTCATATCCACGGTTACTCCACCGGGTTTAAGACCAGCGAGTACACCATCGTCACCGAGAAGCAGCGATCGGACATCGTTAGAGTTTCCAACAATCGTGAACACAACGTCGCTCATCTCCGCTAACTCTTTGGGGCTATTGGCTACGCGAGCTCCTTTGGTTTGCAGATCCTTTGATTTCCGGAGATCGCGAGCGTAGACGGTGACTGAATAGCCTGCGGCGAGGATATGAGAGACCATGGCTGATCCCATTATCCCGATCCCAATCCATCCAATTCGAGTCTTGGATGGATCGATGAGTTTCGGATATGGACTCTCCATTTCAGCGATTCCAGAGAACGAATGAAGAAATTTGTGAGAGACGACGACGACGATCGGAAAACAAAAACAGTAAGCTCTTCACTCAACTTTTATTTATTTTTTTCTCCCTGGATTTTAGTTATTTTATTTACATATTTTTTTTTAATCTGGTCTTCCTCTTCCAATTACAATTTTTACACATGGAGTTGGTGAGACAGAGGTAAAGCTTAGAAACAGAGACCAAAGTCACTCAACAGACACGTAATGTTCATTTCCCATGAAATCATGCAAACTCTCATATAGGTCACGAGCCCTGAATTTCATCCTTGTTTTGGACACCTTTCACATGCTTACCTTGTGATGCAACAAACTTTGTTTTTTCATTTCCTTTATGCTAAACACTATAATCAACATTTGCCACAAAAACACAACTCTCTCTCATGATCATCTTGCTTCTCTCTTTTCTCATTTTTGGATTCTAGAATATGGAATCGAGCTTTCATTTCATCAATCAAGCTCTCCTTATCACTCAGACTTTTATGACCTTTCCCCATTTCCTGGCAGCATCGGCCTGTGTTCTCATAGCGGTTTTTGGTTACTATTTCTTTAAACCAAGATGTATTATATACCTCATTGATTTCTCATGTTATCAACCTCCTGACTTCTTGCGAGCTCCAGTCTCTAATTTCATTGAGCATCTTACGATTTCCGGTGTTTTTGATCAAGAAAGTCTTGATCTCCAGCAAAAGATTTTAGAGCGGTCAGGTATTAGTGATGACGCGAGCGTGCCTGCGACAGTCCATGAGATTCCACCAAACGCTTCTCTCTCTGCAGCTAGAGAAGAAACTCATGAGATCCTCTTCGCTATTGTTGAAGACCTTTTCTCAAAGCATGAGATAGATCCTAAGAGTATTGACATCCTTGTGTCTAACTGCAGCCTATTCTGTCCTTCTCCATCCATAACCTCTATGATCATAAACAGGTTTGGCATGAGGAGCAACGTAAAGAGCTTCAGCTTGAGCGGAATGGGCTGCAGTGCCGGGATTCTTTCGGTTAATCTTGTGAAAGATCTTATGAAGATTCATGGTGACTCTTTGGCCCTAGTGTTGAGTATGGAAGCTGTGAGTCCAAATGGTTACAGAGGGAAGTGTAAGTCAATGCTCATTGCTAACACTATCTTCAGAATGGGTGGGGCTGCGATTCTTCTTTCCAATAGGAAGCAAGATTCGCATAAGGCGAAATACAAACTCCAGCACATTATCAGAACTCATGTCGGTTCAGACACAGAATCCTACGAGAGTGTAATGCAGCAAGTTGATGAAGAAGGAAAAGTGGGAGTAGCATTGTCCAAGCAGCTTGTGAGGGTGGCATCAAAGGCCTTAAAGATCAACGTGGTGGAGTTAGGCCCTCGGGTCCTACCTTATTCAGAGCAGCTCAAATACATAATCTCATTCATCAAAAGAAAATGGGGAATGCACAAGGAGATATACACACCCAACTTTAAGAAAGCTTTTGAGCATTTCTGTATACATGCCGGAGGAAGGGCAATAATCGAGGGCGTGGAGAAGCATCTGAAGCTGGAAAAGGAAGACGTAGAAGCTTCAAGGTCAACTCTGTACCGTTATGGGAACACATCTTCGTCTTCACTGTGGTATGAGCTGCAATACCTGGAAGCAAAAGGTAGAATGAAAAAGGGAGATAAAGTATGGCAGATCGGATTTGGAAGTGGCTTTAAAGCAAACAGTGCTGTCTGGAAATGCATTTCTGAGATCGATTCAAGAGACAGGAATGCATGGTCTGATCGAATCCATTTGTATCCGGTCTGTGGAGATGCTTCAAGTGCATTGAGGACAGAGCTCCTTTCTTGACATTGATTCGCTGCTCCATAGAATAGTTTATACATTCCTTCGTATTCTCTCTGGTTTGCTCTTAAGCTGATTCATGCATTGTAGGAAAAACTTTCCACATTTTCAGATTCTTCAAGAGCTGTTTCTTTTGGATCTCTCCTCTTAGAAATGTTTTGTTATTGCAATCTGAAATAGGCTTTAGTACATACCCTTCACAAGATTTAGTATATGCAACTGTTTCACTTCCTATAATTGCCAATTTAACACTAAAAACAAGTCCTGAAACACTAAGTTAAGAAGTAAGAACCTTAAATCCAAACTTTTCTAAGTGCTAAAGATTAACATTCTGCATTTTGCAAACTACTTCAGCTTCTATTCTTGTGCCCAGCTCGGTTTCCATATGTTCAATCAAACCCTGCAGCCTTCTGCATGATCCCGATAAAGCTTCTGATGAAAAATTCTCGAAACTCTTAACACCAGTCTCAATCTCACCAATAGTTTCCCATATTTTCTCCACTGTTTGTTTCATGAGACCAAACTCTTGTGGCGGATAAACGCAGGCTCCAAGCTCATCAATCTGTACTCCAATGCCTTGACACAACTTCAGTAACTTCTCAAGAGAGTCCACAAACTCACTATTATCATTTGGATTCTCCAGCTTGATCATGCCTGTGAAAGCACGGATAAGCTCTTTTATAACCACGAGCGTCTCAGACACAATATCTACTACCATTTTAGCAACTTCAAATTCTTCAGGAGACAAGTCATCGCCTAAACCATCATCATCTTCATCTGAGTTTTGAGTCTCGCTTTCCAGGTTTTCAGAAGCATCATGCTCGGGTGAAGAACAAGCTGGCTTCAGTTCTTTCATCTCCCTAAGAACATCCTTCATGGAAACAGCTACATGTGCCATCGCCCTTCCAATCGCTTTGATGTTTGTTTCAGGCACCTTCTTTAAATTGGAGCATGCTTCCCACACTGCTCCAGCAAGCTGCGGAATCGACGGCTTCCTTCCATTCCCATATGATCCCTCTGTTTCCAAGTTACAGAAACACCACAAAATTCATACACAGTTGAGTAATCTTCTTAATCAACAAGCAGAAAACCATTGAGTCTTCTTACCGTATAGGGACACAGAACCCTGCAACAATCTGAAGCTAGAATCAACAATTTGCTTCGCAGAGGCGTGTATGGATGAAGAAAGTGTAGTCCCGGCACCAACCATGCTTCCATGACAATGCAGCAAAAATCCTTGAAGCACGTTGAAGTATGCCTCCATAGTCTCCTTTAGTGCTTCAGATTTTGGAGGTTCTCCAGTCCATAGCATTCCCACTAATGAAATTAATAAAAAAAAAAAAAAAAAGAATTGAAGAATTTGTTTTTCTATAACAAAAAGACAGCAACTGGCAAAAGAACAAAACCTATAGTAGCTTGTTTGGAGAGATGATCAGAAATCTGAAGGACATCGTTCCAGCTTACTTTGTCTTGTGTCGGAGACGGAACTTGCTCAAACAACTGCAAAAAATCACCAAAACCGTCACCAAAATTCAAATTCCATCACCAACAAACAAATTAAAAAAAAAAAAACCTGGAGAGTATCATTGATGGTATTGTGATAACTAGTAAGGATTTGATTCAATTCGTCTCTCTTTGGTTTCGCCATCTCCGTCTTCCTTCACCTCTCGACGCCTCAAGTCGTAAATCCTTTAAGTTGTAATTTCCTACGTTAGGGTTTTTTTGACTCTGCAACACTTTCGTGTTTCTTCAATTTCGTTTATGTAAAGAGGGCCGTTTCTTCACGTCTCTTTCTACAATATTATTTATTCCTAAAATACCCTTCATATATATAGGATTTTAATCTAATCGGCCCCTTCTCCTTGAAAGATTTTCTACTTAGCTCCCGTTATAAATTTCTTTTATTTATTTATTTATTTTAAATCAAATATTTAGTAAAAGACAATAAAATCTAAGCTTTTAGACATAATTACAGACCCAACCTAAGTTTGGATTTCTATCCACATATATTGGATCTCACTGTTGGATCTTTTAATCCCAAATCCTCAAAATCGACGTCTGAATCCCTAACATTAATTTTTTTTTCTCTCTTGAAGAACGACGAACTTGAAGAACCCACCAAATCCCTCCGTCGTTCTTCTCTCGGAGCTCTACTCTACTCTCGTCGCCGGCAAACCTCCTCTTCTTCCCTATTCTCTTCTTTTTTCGATCTTCATTCTTCTTTCTTCTCGTTGGAAATCCACCGTGAGAAATCCAAATTCATGTTCGTCCGTGTCCTCTCTTTGTAAGCTACGAATTCTCCATTCTCGTTCGTTCTTTTGTTTGATTTATATTTTGGATGGATTGAGTTGGGTTTTGTTTTGTGAAAGTGATGGATTTTCAGATTTGAATTTGTCCTTGTTTTCGGATATTGAATGTTCGAATATGAATTTGGCCCAAATTTTAAACTTGAATTTATCTCTATTTTTGGGTTTGAATTTTTCCCTTAGATAATGTGTTTAAATGTGTTTCGGATTTCGGATTCGGATTTGAAATGTGTTGAAAACAAACTTTATCTCTTATAATTATGTAGATAGATAATGAGATTGTGTGAATTTGTGTTTGGATTGCTTATTTATCTCTTTTTATTTAGATGATGAGTGAGAGTATGCAAAACAAAGATTTAAGCAATGTTCTAAGAAGAAATGTTAGTTGGCACCGAAAAGGATAGTTAAGCCTTCAATTCATGTCAACGAACCGTATACGAAAGAAAAGATGAAGATGGAGATCGAAGGAGAAGAAGAAGGTCTCTTGGTGGTTTTAGATATATTGTATGGTTTTTGATACCACTGTGTTGGTGTTTTGGCTTTAGGTACAAATGTTCGAATTGTGTTTTGGTTTCTAAGGTTATGTATGAATCTAAGTGTTTAGGTACAACTGATACGAACATGTACAACTATGTATCTGGGTTTATAAATCTAAGTGTTTAGGTACAATTGTTCGGATGTGTTTTAGTTTCTAAGGTTATGTATGAAGCTAATTGTTTAGGTACAACTGGTACGATCATGTACAACTATGTTTCTGGGTTTATGTTTTTTGGTTAAAAAACCTATCTAATTATGTATGTATCTTTGAATCTGAATCTTAATATTTTTATGTATGAAGCTATGTATTGAATATAATCTAAGAGTTTTGAACCAAAAAAAAAATCTGACAAATATGTAGGTTGTAAGGGCTTTTATTAAAAAAAACAGTTAAATATCTGAAAATATCTGAAAGAATCTAAAGATATCTCAAAATATCTAAAAAAATCTGACAAATAGCTTACCTGGCGCCGTTATTTTGAAAAAAATAATTAAAAATAGCACAAATTTGTTCATAGTTGTACAGTTGTACCCGGTTGCACATTTTTGCTCATAGTTGTGCAATATAGAGAATTTAGTAAATCTAGTTGTTATCAACTCTAGTTTAATTTTTGTGGGTGGAACCGATTGTATTGCCTCATAAAAATACCATTACTTTATATCTGTGTATTTATATTTACCAAAATACAAGTATTTCAAAAATTTATAAAATTTTAGTTCAAAACTACAAAGTAACCCTGAAGTATAAGGTTGTTAGTGTATGAATGTGGGATTTTATGTAAGAATTTCATTATTTTAGAAAATTTTGAAATTTTTTGTCAAAAACTTGTTGTGTAGTTTCATTACCATCGTGTATGCATTTTTTTAGGTTTTTCAATTTGGTTTTAATTTTTCATATTATAAAATTGGTTAAGGCAATAGACCTTAGTTGTATCTGTTGTACTTAGTTGTACCAAGACTGAACAACTTAATTTGCACAGCTACGACAATATCGTTTCTTAAATTATCCTAATAAATAGCACTCATAAAACTTAGTTGTACAACACAGAACATATAAGTTTCATAAACAAAACCAATACAAACAATATCGTTTTTTAAATTATCCTAATAAATAGCACTCATAAATCAACCTTGGTCACCCGCATCGTCTCCATCAACGTCACCATCATTGGTAAACCACTCGCCCAAACCGCTCGATCCATGCGACCTCTTCTTACGTCCTCTTCCTCTATGTTCTCCAACGGAGATGAATCTTGTTTCTTGTCTTCTTCCTTGTTTTACCTCATAATCCGGAGGATAGGCAAACAGTTGCATTATCTCCTCAGGAAGAACCCATTGACTATTATGGAGAACCGGATAGTCCCTCTTTCGATTTATTCATAAGAAAAGAATGCACTTCTTCATCTTCTCCATTAGAAATCCAATGTACATCTTCTCTGATACTTGTATAGTATCCGTCATAAGCAAAGGGTATGACTGAATTCCTTTTCATTGTCCCTGAAAAAGAAAGAGAGAAAAAACGGCCTATAATTTCACAACTTCCGTAGCAGACCATCAACATAGTTGTACACATTTGTCCCAGTTGCACCAAACTTAGGGTTTCCGTAAATATTCTACTTAGTTGTACACAGTGGTTCCAGTTGTCCCAAATCTGCAAGTCTTGTAGGGTTTAATATCGTAAAAGGTGAGATATTTAGTAGGTTTGTATTTTTAATGAGAGAAGAGAGAGAAAGTTTTTGATTGGTTGAATAAAAAATATGTTGGTATTAAATTAAATGTAGAATTAAAGGGATAAGGGGTAGAATTGGTTTATGAAAAAATTGGGAAAGAGAGGGGTTTTCCAAAAATTGATTTCCCCAAAGGGGTTGGAGAGATTTAAATCCATATATATTTGCCTCCAGTTTTAAATTCCTCCTACTCAATTTGGTGAATATAAAACGCCATAACAAACAAAGAAGATGCAAAAGGCCCAAAACTAGAGAATATCATATCATGTCTATCGAAAGAAAGAAGAGGCCAAAACTCATGTGCACGTACATGTGAACAATGAATTCCTCATTTACTATACTTGAAAACAACAAGACCAAACATCGAACTAATAAAAACACAACATTTAATGGATTAATGGTGATGGAACCTCTTTGATTTAGCTGATCTATTCATATACTTCACTTTCTTTCTCTTCATATTCATCACCCATCACTCTTTCTCTAGCCTTTCTCGCCTGCCCATATCATTCAATACATATCAATAAACATCACTTTTCACTTTCCTAAACCCACTAGCCAATTTAATTGACCATAATGAAAATCCAACCTATTAAAGAACATCACTTTCACTTCACTAACCTGTTTTTTCCAGTTGGTAAGGATGACGATAAGACCGAGCAAAACAGCTTGTACAAAGGATCCAACTGTGATCCCAATCCAGAGTCCTCTTCCTATCATTTTAAACCCAAAAGCTAATATTATAGCAGTTGGTATCCCAAAGAGATAGTATGCTGCTAGGTTTACGTAAGCCCCAATATCTTGCCTCCCTGATCCTCTAGCCACACCTGTTTCAATAAACACATTTTATAACCCTTAACTTCATTGAAATAGATCTCTTTATGACTTAAAACATTATAGAAGGTGGTCATCTAACCGGAGAGAACTGCGTGAAGGGCATCGAATATGACCGATAAAGAAACCAGTGGAGCCATTGTTTTTACATAATCTACAACTTCAGTTTCAGAGCTGAATAGGTAACCAAATACATTTCTTGCACCAAAGACTATTGCACCCACCATTATTGATTCTACACTTGTTATAACCATCACTGTGTAAACCGCCTTTCGAGCTTGTTTCGGGTTGCCAGCTCCTAACTCGTTTGCAACTCTTGTACTGCAACGACAACAACAAAGAGGCGGTTTCAGGTTTTAGATAGATAGCTACCAATTTTCAAAATCGAAAATAAAATAGACGGAAATTACCTTGCTGCTGCGCCGAGACTCTCTGGGATTTGGTACAAGGAGGCTTGTGTTGAAAGACTGTTAAAACAAGAATGAAAGCAACTGATTTGTATGATAATATTCCATTTCAAAACCAAGTCTTTTGAAGATTAAAGGAAACATACCAGACTGAGAGAACAGAGGCTTCTAGCTTCGGATTTGGTAAAATCCCAGAGAGCAGGACCAAAAATTCGAATGACCACCACTCGAGGCTAATCCAACAACACCAAAGAGATTCATGTCAAGAACTCTATGACTAAACCAAAAGAGGCATGAAGAAAAGTAGATATACCAAATCATAGACGCAGATGGGATTCCAAACCGGAAAAACTCTCCCATTCCTTCAAACAAACTCATGGAGATAGTTGCACGGCTCTTGCTACAGCTGGAAGAAAACGTCATGTATAATCCAAGAACAATCACGTTTAGCCAGTAAGAAACACCGATCGCAATAGCTGCACCGACGCTCCCAAGACCAAACTTAAAGACCAAGCTCCAACAGAGGACAACGTGGACACAGAGAGAAGAGACTGAGCTCATAATCAAAGGCAAAATCAGACTCTGCGCTTGGAAAAACCGAACAAGAGGCTGCAAAATAGCGTAACCAAAGAGCGCGGGTATGAGCCAAGTCGCAAACTTTCCTGCTTGTTGAGCAACCATAGGATCTTGTCCAATCAGAGAAAGTATATCACCCATGTAACTCCATAGCACAGACAGAGGAATACACACAAGAAATAAAGAGACAATCCCTGTGTAAGTATGAACACCAAGCTTCTCGAATTGCTTAGCTCCATTAGCTTGACCACACAAAGTCTCCAATGCACTAGCCAATCCAAACTGTGTGATCAATCACAGTCACACTTTAGAATCTCAAACTAATCAAAGAAAAGAGAAAGATCAAGAAAGAGACATACGACGACGCTGAAACCGGTGACGCTGCAGAAAGAAACAGCAATGGCGGTGCTAGAGAGGAAAAGCTCACCGAGATGACCAACCATCATAATCGATATCACCTGAAGAACATACATAGACGAGTTCACAGCAATCATCGGACCGGCGATGTAACCAAGCCTCTTCATTTCCCGCAAAAACCCATCTTTCTTGTTTACTTCTTCTCCGTGGCTCACAACAAGCAAGCCCTTCTCCGCCGAATCCATTCTCTCTGCTTCTTCTTCTTCTTCTTCCCTGAGATCTGTTTCAATCGGAATCTTTCTCCGAATCAATCCAATACTCTTTTTATACTAATATTTTATGATTATCTTCTCTGTGGAATTTAGCGGCGTGTCGTATTTTGATTCTACACCTCGAGATACAGATACATGCGTCGTCCTTTCTCATTCAGCCGCCATAAATTCTCTCTTCTAATGGCTCATTGATTATAGCAAATTAAGAAAAGTCTTTGTTAAAAAAACAAAAAAAAACTTCATATGCAAATCGTGTTGAAATATTAAAATCTTAACTTTTTAATTAGTTAAGCGGTCTGTTACAAAATCAATTAATTTCATTGTTGATTCTATTTGAATATGTTCTTGTGTTACTTCCTCATCAAGGTATCAACTGAATAAATAAATAAAAATTTAATTATATGTTGTTGTGCACCAATCAAATTTTAATCTTCAAATCCATTTTTTTTCAATTTCATAACCTAAAAGTCAAAGAAAATATTTGTTTGCTTTTTTTTTTAACCCACTCACAACTGCTACATACCATTCTGACAAAAGTAAGGTTTTGTGAATCTACAAGTTCCTAATTGTGTACTCTCGTCATATTTATTATGAGCATTCCTTAGAATTCTCTTAAGAACGTTTTTAAAACTTTGAAGAGCATCGAATATGACCGATAAAGCAACCAATGGAGCCATTGATCTTACATAAACCACTACTTCGGTTTCAGAGCTGAATATGTATCCATAAACGTTTCTTGCACTAAAAACTATTGCGCTGACCATTATTGATTCTACACCTGTAATGACCATCACTGTATAAACCGCCATTCGAGCTTGTTTTGGTTTTCCAGCTCCTAATTCGTTTGCAACTCTTGTACTACAACAACAACAAGTCAACAACAGAGAGATATTTTAGATAGATAGCTCCCATGTTACAAGATTGGGAAATTGAGCAAGAAAGAACCTTGCTGCTGCGGCGAGACTATCTGCTATTTGGTACACGATGTTGATTGTTGATAGACTGTTAAACAAGAATGAAAGCAACTGAGTTGTATATGATAATAGTCCATTCCAACACAAAATCATTAGAAGATGAAAAGAACATACCAGATTGAGAGAACAGAGGCTTCTAGCTTCGGATTTGGTAAGATTCCAGAGAGTAAGAGCAGAAATTCGAATGACCACCACTCGAGGCTAATCCAACAACACCAAATGGATTCATGTCAAGAACTCTATGACTAAACCAAAAGAGGCATGAAGAGAAGTTGATATACCAAATCATAGACGCAGATGGGATTCCAAACCGGAAAAACTCTCTCATTCCTTTAAACAAACTCATGGAGATAGTTGCACGGCTCTTGCTACAGCTGGAAGAAAACGTCATGTATAATCCAAGAACAGTCACGTTCAACCAGTAAGAAACGCCGATCGCAATAGCTGCACCGAGGCTTCCAAGACCAAGCTCCAACAGAGGACAACGTGGACACAGAGAGAAGAGACTGAGCTCATAATCAAAGGCAAAATCAGACTCTGCGCTTGGAAAAACCGAACAAGCGGTTGCAAAGTAGCGTAACCAAAGAGCGCGGGTATGAGCCAAGTTGCATACTTTCCTGCTTGTTGAGCAACCATAGGATCTTGTCCAATAAGAGAAAGTATATCACCCATGTAACTCCATAGCACAGACAAAGGAATACACACAAGAAACAAAGAGACAATCCCTGTGTAAGTATGATAACCAAGCTTCTCGAATTGCTTAGCTCCATTAGCTTGACCACACAAAGTCTCCAATGCACTAGCCAATCCAAACTGTGCGATTAACAATTTAGAATCTATCTTGAGCTAATTAACGTAAATAAAGAGAGAGATAGCGATCAAGAAAGAGACATACGACGACGCTGAAACCAGTGACGCCGCAGAAAGAAACAGCAATGGCGGTGCTAGAGAGGAAAAGCTCACCGAGATGACCAACCATCATTATCGAGATCACCTGAAGAACATACATAGACGAGTGCACCGCAATCATCGGACCGGCAATGTAACTAAGTTTCTTCATCTCCCGTAAAAAAACATCTTTCGTGTTTACTTGTTCTCCGTCGTTAACCACAAGCAATCCCTTCTCCACCGAATCCATTCTCTCTGCTTCTTCTTCCCCTAAGATCACGGGGATTATATAGTAACATATGGTTGTTTCTTTCTCTACAAGGCACTAAAATGTTTTTTAAAAAATGCTTCCGTTTATCATGTGAAGTTGTGAGCGAATCTAAAATTTTAATCCACTCCTCGTGTTTTCTCACTGTTTTTCGATAATTGTTTGCTCTTTTGAACGTTTTTTTTCCCTCCATCAAAGTTTAAAGTAAATTTTCATTTGGAATTTAGCGTCGTTGCCTATTGTATCATGCTACTCCTACAAACACAAACAAAAAAAAAAAAGCTTTCTTTAATTTGCTTTAACCGATTCAAACTTTTTTAAAAGCATCTTAGAGCGTGATTATAGGTGGTCTCTTAGAAATTAATCTTAGGAATCTATACTAGTATAATCGCAGCACTTTTTGTGACGGATGGGTAAAAAAGCTTTCGGGTATATCGGATATCCGACCCATTTTAAAAATTTCTTCACAAAAAATTTGTTGGGTCGGGTTATATTTAACCCAACTCATACACCGGATATTCCATATTTAATAATTTAGATTTTTAGAAGATTTGATTAAGATTTATAATTATGATTCTCCTATCATCTTTGTTTGATTTGTTTTTAACTGTTTTGAATCATCATATAATACATAAAGTAAAAAAAAAATCAATTTTTTTTCTGCATATACTGTGATTTGAAATTTTTAAAACGGACATATATTATCCAATTGACGAAAATGTGTGTTCAACGTTCTACATCGATTAAAATATTTAGACAATGATTCAGAATCATATCATAAATAAAAACATTAATAAAATAAATGAGTTTTTTGGCGGGATGGGTTTAGCGGGACGGGTTTTTGAATCAACAATAATAAAAAGATTAAAATATCATTAATCCGCCGCTTCAATACGGATTTAATCCTTATTTTTTTTAATACAAATCACAGGACGGGTTAAGAAATTACGGAACGGGTTATATTTCGGAAATGATTTATATGGCGGATGAATTTGAATCAATATTTATATACCGCTTTAATACGGGTTAAATCCTCAGTTTATTAATAATTATCTCGTGGACTCGTGGTATACCGTTACTTAATAACAATTGTAAACTATAATATAAATAAATATGTTATAAGGAGATACAATTTACAAAATACTTTTATACTAACTTTAAAATTAAATCATCCCGCGGTGTACCGCGGGTTAAAATCTAGTATTTAAGTAATTTATTTGTGAAAGTGATTGTTAAGAGATAGTATTTTTGAGTTAAGATTTTTGTATGATTAATGGTAGGCTCTTAACATGTGGTTCTTAAAAAAAGTTATTAATATAAAAATAAAATTTATAATTATAGAACATTTAATAATTGTTGCAAATTAAAAAATTAATACATGAGATACAATTTATAACATAAATATATAGTGATGGATTTTTTTGGTTTGAAGTAGAATTGTTTTTGGATTTTTTTTAGTAAAAAGAAAAGAACAAGGTTTGGATTTGGTTTGAGAACAAGACATTGGTGTGAAAAGAAAATATGAATGCTTGGATTTGGTTTATGAAGTCTTGTGAAAAGAACAAGGCTTAACTCAAAAAACAAGGGTTGTTTAAAGAACAAGAACTCTCGTTGGTTTAGATTTTTGTTCTTCAGATTGTAAGAAGAAAAGAGAAAGAGAGTTTTGTATTGATTTGAATAAAAGATAACAAAAGGGAATGAAAAATATAGTGTAATACATGGTGATATTTATAGCAAAGCAATCCAATGATACATGGTGTACAAAGCATAAAATGAGTACTTGTGGTCTCCAAACTTTCTAACATCAACTAAATTTCAGATACTCATGATCTTTTTCCTTGCAGCTTTATTCCCAATCAAACTGATAGATCCGAAGTGAAAGATCTTGGCCTACTGTTGAAAACTTCACCCCTTCTTTTGTCACAGAGATCACAACTGCAAAATCATAACATCAAAACCAGAATCATGATTAGATAAAACTCAATAGACCATTTCACAATCCTCACTGTGACACACCTACAGAAAAAACAGTACATTACCTGTGTCACCAATACTACTGAGATCTTTGCATTTCCTGGAAAATTCACCAAAAGGCATTCTCACAATTGAGTGGTACTCAGCAGCATGTATCCCCTTATCTAAGTAACTATAGTTTTCCCGTCAAACAAAATAATAATTGTATATCGTTTTCTAACAAAGCATTTATTTTATATGTCTATTGGAGCTATTTGAAGTCTTAACAGAAGAAGACTTTGCTCGCAACATGGGAAGAAGACTTGGAAGTCAGACGCATCAAAGATGAAAAATAAATGGGTTCAAAACTTCAATATACAATGTATCATTTTTTTCCATTCACATGACAATTTTTGTTGCTATATAAAAATACATAGAGACAAATAAACAACACTGACTATAAACAAAATGGAAGAATCTTACCCAGATTAAGATTTTTGTTGCTATAGAAGAATACATAGAGACATTCATTCATGATTCAAATTACCCAGATTATACAAAGAAAATGAATTCCTTTTTCCCCAATTCCACGAACCCTACTTTCCAAATCCGACGAACCCTAATTTTAAAAACCTAAAATCACATCAATTCACACAAGTAGAGAGACATTCCTACCTTGACAAACCGATTGTCACCGATTCGAATCGAAACTCGAAGATCTCCTGCAATTATCCCCGATTTCGTAAGCCAGGAATCGCCGATTTGGTGAACCGAAGACGCCCTCGACAACCAGCATCAGTGGAGATGATGAGCTAACGCCGGAACGACGGCCGGAGATAATTAACGTCGGCGATACCTCCGATTTGCTTGAAATTGTTTCTGGTTTTCATCTCTTCAGTGACATCGCGAAAGAGAGAGAGAAAGAGAAACGTGAAAAAGACAATAAAATCGGGCATTTATTGACACATGTCCGCCTCTTAGGTGAATAAATGTTTCTTAGTTAAGGAACGTTACTTAACATTATCACTCTTTTCTCATTTATTTTTAATTCATTATACCCTAAGATTTAGCCTAAGAAACCACCGATAAAGATGCTCTTAGGTGTAAACAGCCCCAAAATGTATAGCAAAATGTATGAACATTTTAGTCATCGCCTCATCGGACCATGTTGCGATAGTAATGAAGAAAAAGTTCGATAGTGTTGAATTAAGGTCACAAATCAATACACAGCAGAAACAGAAGCTATGATCACAAGACATGATAAAGGATGAGAATGATCTTGGTCATTGGAATATGTTGCCATGTCAAATGATTCTTGGTGTGTGCTGCTGCTTCGTCGCTTGATTTCTCACTACGCCGATTAATTGGTAACGAAGATACTGCTTTAGCTGATAGTCTCCGTCCTTTGGGTTAAACTTACGGAACAGTTTGATGATATGAAGTGATCTTTTGAGTCTCATGTAGTTTGGTTCTTGTGGTTCCAGTATTCAACGAGATGGTTTGGGTCAAGAACTTCAGTGGCCTGTAGAGGAGGATTAAGTTGTGTAAGAGTTAAGACCATCCACAATGGTGGTTTTTTAGGAGTACCTAAATTATTAAACAAATAAAAAAAATGAAAAAGGAAGAGAGAGACATAGAATCGTTTCTAAAACAAGGTACTCATAAAAAATTGTCTCTACACATGTTCTTCATTTAGTGGTCCATTTTTTATTTAAAATTTAAATTTAAATATAAAACTAAATTATTTCTAAAATATTATTACTTTATTACTAAAAACTCCAATTGGGTTTCTTTACCGTTGGGTTGCTCTAACACCATGGATAGGTTTGAATGAAGAAGAACAAGACTTGGATTTAGATTTGTTACCTGAACTATATAGGGTGAGAAGAAACCAAACATTTGAAGACCACAAATACCATCAAACTGCGATAATGTAGGAAGCACTCAGCGGCTGACACGTTAGCATCTCTTAGGGGTTCTAAAACTCCTTAGTTCAGAACACTGTTCGAAGCAATATTAGGTATTTTGATTTAAATCTAATTTTAAACCTTAGAACCCCAGTTTAAATCCCCCTTTGGAGATGGTCTAAGCTCTCTGGACTAGGACCATATTGTTAGCGGACGACATAGAGGAGTACTATAGAGATCACAACTACTACATGCAATTCTGACAAAAGTAAGGGTTTGTGAATCTACAAGTTCCTAGTTGTGTAATCGTCATATTTCTTATGAGCATTAATCCTTAGAATTCTCTTAATAACTTTTTAAAAACTTTGCTCAATATCATATGATTAATGATTATCTTCCTTCTATAAGGGGGAAGATCATATAATGTATATGGAGACACAATAGAGGCCAAAACTCATGTGCACGTACATGTGAACATACATTTCCTCTTTAGTCATTACTATTATCGAAAACAACATTACTATTATGAAAATATCATTTATATCATGTGTATGAAGTCTCTTGGTTTAGCTGATCTCTTCATGATCTTCACTTTCTTTATCTTCAAACCCCTCACCCATCAGTCTTTCTCTCGCATCTCTCGCCTGCCCAAATGATTCAATACATAACACTTTTTCATATCCACTAATCAATTTTTTTATATACTAACCCTAAAAACAAGAAATTAAAAGGACATCAGTCTCACTTTACTTACCTGTTGTTTCCAGTTGGTAAGGATGACAAGAAAACCGAGCAAAACAGCTTGCACAAAGGACCCAACTGTGATCCCAATCCAGATTCCTCTTCCTCTCATTTTAAACCTAAAAGCTAATATTATAGCAGTTGGTATCCCAAAGAGATAGTATGCTGCTAGGTTTACGTAAGCCCCAATATCTTGCCTCCCTGATCCTCTAGTCACACCTGCAAATGCAGTTCCACCAATAACACAGTATTAATCATTAACTTCATTCATGACTTTGACATTATTGAAGGAGCTAGAGAAGAATCTAACCCGCAAGAACTGCGTGAAAAGCATCGAATATGACCGATAAAGCAACCAATGGAACCATTGATCTTTCATAATCCACAACTTCGGTTTCAGAGCTAAATAGGTAACCATAAACGTTTCTTGCACTAAAAACTATTGCGCTCACCATTATTGATTCTACACCTGTAATGACCATCACTGTGTAAACCGCCATTCGAGCTTGTTTCGGTTTTCCAGCTCCTAATTCGTTTGCAACTCTTGTACTGCAACAACAAGTCAACAATAACAACAGAGAGATATTTTAGTTAGATATGTTGCCAAATTGGGAAATTGAGCAAGAAAGAACCTTGCTGCTGCGCCGAGACTAGCTGCTATTTGGTACACGATGTTGATTGTTGATAGACTGTTAAACAAGAATGAAAGCAACTGAGTTGTATATGATAATAGTCCATTCCAACACAAAATCATTAGAAGATGAAAAGAACATACCAGATTGAGAGAACAGAGGCTTCTAGCTTTGGATTTGGTAAGATCCCAGAGAGTAAGAGCAGAATTTCGAATGACCACCACTCGAGGCTAATTCAACACCACAAAGATTCAAGCCAATTAATTCAAATTTCAACAACTCTGTGACTTAACCAAAAGAGGCATGAAGAGAAGTTGATATACCAAATCATAAGGGCAGATGGGACTCCAAACCGGAAAAACTCTCCCATTCCTTTAAACACACTCATGGAGATAGTTGCACGGCTCTTGCTACAGCTAGAAGAAAACGTCATGTATAATCCAAGAACAATCACGTTTAGCCAGTAAGAAACGTCAAGCGCAATAGCTGCACCGAGGCTCCCAAGACCAAACTTAAAGACCAAGCTCCAACAGAGGACAACGTGGACACAGAGAGAAGAGACTGAGCTCATAATCAAAGGCAAAATTAGACTCTGCGCTTGGAAAAAACGAACAAGCGGCTGCAAAGTAGCGTAACCAAAGAGCGCGGGTATGAGCCAAGTTGCAAACTTCCCTGCTTGTTGAGCAACCATAGGATCTTGTCCAATAAGGGAAAGTATATCACCCATGTAACTCCATAGCACAGACAAAGGAATACACACAAGAAACAAAGAGACAATCCCTGTGTAAGTATGATAACCAAGCTTCTCGAATTGCTTAGCTCCATGAGCTTGACCACACAAAGTCTCCAATGCACTAGCCAATCCAAACTGTGTGATTACGACAACCACAATTTTAGAATCTTGAGCTAATTAAAGGAAGAAAAAGAGACATGGAAATCAAGAAAGAGACATACGACGACGCTTAAACCGGTGACGCCGCAGAAAGAAACGGCAATTGCGGTGCTAGAGAGGAAAAGCTCACCGAGATGACCAACCATCATTATCGATATCACCTGAAGAACATACATAGACGAGCTCACCGCAATCATCGGACCGGCGATGTAACTAAGTTTCTTCGTCTCCCGTAAAAAACCATCTTTCGTGTTTACTTGTTCTCCGTCGTTCTCCGCCGAATCCATTCTCTCTGCTTCTTCTTCTTTTTCCCCTGAGATCACGAGATTTTTATCAATCGGAATCTTTAACATATGGTTGTTTCTTTCTCTACAAGGCGTTTATCATGTGAAGTTGTGAACCAATTAAATTTTTTAATCCACTCCTCGTGTTTTCTCACTGTTTTTCGATAATTGTTTGCTTTTTAAACGTTTTCTTTCCCTCCATCAAGTTTAAAGTAAATTTTCATTGGAATTTAGCGTCCAAAAAAGAGCGTTTCTTTTGGACTCAAAACTTTTAATAGCATCTTTTTAGGTAAAAACAGCCACTAGTAACAGCTTTTCCCAAAGTGTAAAATGTAACGTTGATACCGTGACACAAGAACCAAAAGATGGAAAGATATAAAAAAGAACCAAAGACAAATTATAACTCTGATCCAAGTCATTAAGGTTCAAGTTGCTAAGAATTCTGTTCGGTTATGTTATTTTCCTTGCACATTGATAATGTTTGTTTAGTAAGTGTCTAGTTTACCATTTCTGAATCAAAACATAACCGTCCAATTTTTCAATATGAACAACGGTCAATGCCTAAACGTTTCAAAATTCAAAAAAAAACATACCTAAATTCTTCCTTTTGTGCGTAAATCAAAATCGTCGCGGATTTTAGTCAAATTTATCATCAATCTTCCTTTATAATTCACCAATTTCAAAATTCACCAACAAACCTCACTATTCAAATTCTAGAAAGAGTTAATTTTCTTGAGTTTCAAATTCGTCCATAGTGCTAAAATATATACAGAGACGAAGGACATCAAGATCATAAACAACAACAACATCATCATCAGATGTATTTACAAAGACGATACGAGATAGATCTTCTTGCTAACAACTGAATCACCAACTCCACTTCACGCGCCTCTAGCAACATCCACCACCGTCTTATCCTCTTGATTCTCCGCCGGAAAACCAAAATTGGTCGGCGCGTGAGGTCCAATCAGCTGAATCGCGGCATTATCATAAGCAAGAGCAGCTTCCTCAGCAGTGTTAAAAGTTCCCAGCCAAAGACGACCACGTCGTCCCTTACAAGCTCCTCCGCCACATCTAATCTCCGCCACCCACTTCCCCCACGGCCTCTGCCTCACTCCACGGAATTTCTTCTTCCTCACATTCTCCGTCGCCGTCTTAAGAAATTCCGCCGGAATCCTGATTTTGAACCGTGTCTTGCAGACATCGAGTTTATCGGAAGGATCGATTACGATCTCTTTAACGAGGCGTTTTCCACGGCGGCGAGTCTGGGAAGCTCCTCCACGTTGCTCGGTGTCTTCGTCGCTAGAAGAATCGGTGGCTTCTGCGTCGGTGAATGAGATTCTGATAATACGCTTCATGATATCTTAGAGAGTAGTGAATTTGAGGAAATTAGGGTTTCGTCTCCGTTTCCTCTAAAAAGGAAGGCATTTGGGAGAGAGAAGGCTCTCTCCAATTGGGAATTTGGGAAAATATTCTCACAGAATATGTTTTTATTCTTTCAGAATCTCTTTTTCTGATGCTTTCATTTTTTACTTTTTTTTTTTTTTTTTTTTTTGTCGTCTTATTATAAAATCAATGAAGAAGTTTGCAAAACAGAGAGAAATAAAAAACAGAGCAACTTAATAAGAAAAAACAGAGCAAGAGAAAACCAATCAACGTCGACCTCGCCGCTCGTCCTCAATCCGGTTGTGGAGCCAAGCCGGACCACCACGTGTTAAGTAATATGTAAACCGTCCTTCTCGAGTAACACTACAAGCAATCTCTCTAGCCAAAGAATTGGCTTTCGGTGAAGAGAGGTGAAAACTAACCTCCCGCATCACCCGTATTACCTGTTGTATCTTTAGAAGCTGAGAACGGTATTTAGGGTAAACTTCTGGTCTGCGTAAAGCATCAATAGCCGCACCACAATCGGACCATAGTTCACACGATACGATATGGATATCTCTTAAACCACTAAGACACCAAAGTATACCATGAAGCTCCGCAGCGAGACGATTAAACATCGGTATAAAAGCATCCCGCGCATGAAAAATGGCATCCCCCGCGTGATTCCTTGCAATCCAAGCTCCTCCAACATGGCATGAGTCCTTGATCCAAGAAGTATGGATGTTGCATTTAATTTTCCCGAACGCAGGTTTAGTCCATAACTTCTCACCCACCATTTGTCTCTGGTTTCTTAGAACATTGCCTTGTTGAGAGTGAATATTTTGCTGTAACCACTCTTTTGCATCTTCCAACGCTGTAGCAACAACAAAATGTGGAGAGTTAGTCTTCGCCGCATACAGAGTAGAGTTCCTTGCCTTCCAAATCTCCCATAATAACCAAGGAATAGCCTCTCGCAACTCTTTATCTACATCTTGCTTCTCCATTAAATTCAAAAGATGATCCACCCGTTCAGAAATGGAGATAGGCGATCCGTGTGACCACAAAGGCAAACCCGTGATACTCCAGACATTATGAGCCAAATGACAATCAAACAAAACATGAGATATTGTTTCATTTGATCCATTACAGAGCTGACACACTAGATTAATATTAAGACCATGTCGCCTCAAGCAATCAGCAACCGCAAGGGCACCCGATAAAACTCGCCATAAGAAGATTCTGATCTTTGGAGCTGTAGAAACCTTCCATACCCTTTCTTTAGTCTTGTTAGCGGCTTGCAAATCTGCAGGGATGACCTCCATTAGTTCAGCTTCCCTCGTGAGCACCCAATTACCACTCTTCACTGAATAGTTTCCATCTTTTGTGTAGGCCCACACACTTTTATCAGCTACACTAACTTCAGGTGGAAAGGATCTAATGTGGGTAACATCACAAGGAGGAAAGAGTTCATTAAGCTTAAGAACATTCCATTCTCCCTGTGCTGTTATTAAAGATGACACCTTAAGGTTTAAATCCATCATTAGCTCCTTGTTAATCGGTCTCCTTGGGAATGTATCTAAAATCCATTTATCAACCCAAACATTGGTATTTTGACCATCCCCTATAGTCTTCATGAGACCTCTTTCAAGCAGTTCTCTACCAAATAAAATGCTACGCCATGCATAAGAAGGTCTATACCCAATTTTCGCATCTAGGAAGCTTTTATTTGCATAGTACTTAGCCTTGTACACTCTGGAAATAAGAGACTGCGGATCATCAAGAAGACGCCAAGCTTGTTTCGCAAGAAGGGCTTGATTAAAACGTCCAATATCCCTAAAACCCAAGCCACCTTTTGCCTTAGACTTACAAATTTTATCCCAGGAAACCCAATGCATCTTATGCTTGTCTTCACTTGCATTCCACCAAAAACTTGACATAGCACTCGTAAGTTTTTGACATTGGAATTTAGTCAATCTAAAACAGGACATAGCATAAACCGGTAATGCCAACGCCACAGATTTTATGAGCACTTCCTTTCCTCCCAGGGATAACGTTTTCTCATACCAACCACTTAATCTTGATTTCAAACGATCGCTTATGTAGCCAAGAAGTGCACTCTTAGATCCACTAAAACACTCTGGGAGACCTAAATATTTTCCAGTACCACCCTCTTGATCAATTCCAGTAAATTCCTTAATTAGCTGCTTCATGTATGGATTGAGTTTCCTCCCAAAAGTAATTGCAGACTTTGTAAAATTAATCATTTGTCCTGACGCTTTTTCGTAGAGAAGGAGGCAGCGGTTAAGCTCTGAACACTCTCGGAATGTGGCTCGACACGAGAACAAACTGTCGTCCGCAAACAAAAGATGTTGTATTGTAGGACAAGCCGGTGTTAATCGCAGCCCTGTTAACCGGCCTTCCATTTCCGACTTATTCATTATATGTACAAGAGCTTCAGCACATAATATGAAAAGAAAGGGAGAAAGCGGATCGCCTTGACGTATGCCTCTCTCCGGTTTAATGAAACCATAAGATGAACCATTAAGGAGAACCGAATAAGAGACCGATCTAACGCAACTCATTATCCATTGGACCCAACGAATGCTGAAACCAAGCTTGAGAAGCAACTCCTCTAAAAAATTCCATTCCACTCTATCATAAGCCTTTGACATGTCGGTTTTGATGGCTATGAAGTCCTCATCACAATGCGGATTTGTTCTTAAAGCATGGACCATTTCGTGGGCAAGAAGAATATTATCGGAGATGAGTCTTCCGGCGACAAAAGCTCCTTGAGTTGCCGATATGATATTAGGCAGAAAAAATTTAAGTCTCGCACATAAGATCTTCGAGACAATCTTGTAAATTACCGAACACAAACTTATAGGCCGTAAATCAGTCATTCGGGAAGGATTAACCTTTTTTGGAAGCAAGCAAATCTGTGTAAAATTCCACTCCGATGGTAGAATACCAGATTGAAAAAATCGCTGAACCTCAACAATGACTTGTGGTCCAACAATGTCCCAATATGTTTGATAAAAATGAGCTGACATACCATCTGCCCCGGGCGTGCTGTCGCCACGAATACTAAAAACCGCTTTCTTAATTTCCTCACTAGTAACCGGCTTAGTCAATTCCGTATTCATACTCTCTGTAACTCTTGGTATCATCCCTTCTAAAGCTTCAGAAATAAGAGAAGGATTAGAACTTGTGAACATCTTCCGGAAATACTCCACAACAATCTCTCCTTTCGAACCTTCAGCAAACTATTCAGTCTCATTATCATCAAAAAGAGAAAGGATCCGATTCTGAACTCTTCGTCTTTGAACAGAGCCATGGAAGAATTTAGTGTTCCGGTCACCTTCACTTAACCACTTTTCTTTACTTCGAAGTTTCCAATACAGTTCTTCTTCTCTATACGCTTCCGCTAAGTCCCATTTAAGAGAACGCATCAAGCCATGGTGAGGATGCACCTTCATTCCTTCATTATCCAACTGATTACGCAAATGCTTTATAAGTAATTTTGAATTTTGTGTAGATCTGCGTTTCCACTGTGATAAAAGCTTTCTACACTCAGAAATACGATGAAGTATATCCGATTGACCTGTATTGCCTTCTTTACTCCAACCTTCTCTGATGATATTTAAAAGCTCTGGTTTCGCCGTCCACCTCTTATCAAACATAAACCTACCGGTTCTGGTTATATTTTCACTAACAAACCGGAGGAATAAAGGCCTATGGTCTGAACCGACGCGTTCGAAGAACTCTGCTTGAACCCGTGGAAAGAGGTGAAACCATGCTTCATTCCCAAGTGCACGATCTAAACAACATTGTATCCATTGATTATTACGTTCGACAATCACATTTTTTACTTATTTACTTCCTTCTTTTTTCTAACCAATCCTATATTACCATTGAATTGGGCCGTATGGGCCTCAGAGGTGGAAGCCCATCTAAAGGTAAAAACGCTTTAATCTTTTTCCATGATCTATGTAATAAGAAGCATAAATTTAGGAATAAGTTTGAAACTTTAATCACACATAAGAGAAAGTGCAGAAACATGAACAATGCTCTTCTTGCCTTCCGTGTCAATTTTGTATCTATATGTCACTATTTAATCTCATTTATATGAATATAACCTCATTTGTCCCATGTCTTCTTCTTCAATGGACTTACTCATGTTTCTGCTTCTTCTAGTCTCTCCGGTTGCTCTGGCAAAGTCTTCTTCCACCGTCCCTGCTATCTTCACCTTTGGTGACTCAATTTTCGACGCCGGAAACAACCATTACAACAAAAACTGTACAGCTCAGGCTGATTTTCCTCCTTATGGTTCTTCCTTTTTCCACCGTCCTACGGGGAGGTTCACCAACGGAAGAACTGTCGCTGACTTCATCTGTAACAAATTACCCCAACTAGTAATTACATTTTTCAAGGTTTCTTCTTCCGCAAGGAACCTTACTTTTGTCTCTTTTTCTTTTCTTGACCCAATAATTGCAGCGCAATTTGTAGGCCTTCCACTACAGAAACCATTCTTGGAATTGCAGATTCAAATCTTGAATGGAACTTCAAACTTTTCAAATGGCATTAACTTTGCTAGTGCTGGTAGTGGTCTCTTGTTTGATACCAACAAATTTATGGTACATATCTAGCTTTTACCAAATAAAATGTTCGTTTCTTGTGAAGTTCACTTGTTAAGTACACATATCAAATATTGTAGGGCGTGACACCGATCCAAACCCAGCTACAGCAATTCCAGACACTTGCAGAGCAGAACCTGATCGAAAAATCTATAATCCAAGAGTCTCTCTTCTTATTGGAAACTGGTTCCAACGACATCTTCAACTACTTCATCCCATTCCAAACTCCTACACTTTCTCCAGACGCCTATGTGAACACAATGTTAGACCAAGTGAGCAAAACGATTGATCAGATCTACAAACTAGGTGCACGCCGCATCGCTTTCTTCTCCTTAGGTCCTGTGGGATGTGTCCCTGCAAGAGAAATGCTTCCTAATGTCCCAACAAATAAATGCTTCGGTAAGATGAATGTTATGGCAAAGATTTTTAATACAAGACTTGAAGAGATTGTGAACATAATACCCACTAAGTACCCCGGTGCCATTGCGGTGTTTGGAGCTGTGTATGGTATAACTCACAGATTCCAAACCAACCCTGCCCGTTACGGTAAACTCAATATAGTTGATTAACTTCTACCTTTGAGACATTTTTCAAGTGTGTCTGAATCATGTTTTTGGTGAAGGGTTTACCGATGTGTCGAACGCGTGTTGTGGGAACGGGACACTGGGAGGATTGATGCAGTGTGGAAGAGAAGGATACAAGATTTGCAATAACCCAAATGAGTTTTTGTTTTGGGATTTTTATCATCCCACAGAACGCACTTACCATCTCATGTCAAAAGCTTTATGGAACGGAAACAAAAACCATATCAGACCGTTTAATCTCATGGCTCTTGCCACCACCAACATCACATTTTAAAACTTATTTCTGCTTAGTAGTTTGTAATATATCATTCGTGGTGATTTTGTGTCTGAATTAAGACTCCAAATCATTGTGAAAACAAAAGCCAGAAAGTGAAACTTCGCTCCACTTCTAGTCTCTTCCTCTTCTTCTAATGTAACATGAACGCTACAAAATGTGTTTATTGTTCTCTTTCATATCTTTATGAAATACAACATCTGATTCTATTTATCTATACCTGTTTACTATACGCATTCTACAGAAAGCTTAGTTTCGTCATCTGAGTGATGATTATCCAAGCCGTTACCAAAGCTAACGTCTTTTACTTGAGGGTGTGGATCCGCAAACACTTCCTTCCTTTGGGGGCGGTTCGCATAGAATATCCACAGCACCAGACATAGTAACACTCCCACGGAGATCAGGCCAAGTCCTGCAGTCACAATCCTCAGATTACGCTCCAGTGGTGGACAGTAGTCTGAGGTGATACTCTTAAATGTATCCCTAACAAAGTTGCAATCTCGGAAGCTAAGCAACTGAGGCGTGTAATGCTCAAGAGCGTAGCTCTCATTCACAGCTGCTACCAACTGTCCAAAGGTGTCTGGCGTTACTCTCCCAACAGTGGTGCAGACTCCGGATTGTGTAACCTCGCATTGGTAATTCTCCCAGACCTGAAAAAAAAGTTAATTTAAGACCTGGTGGTGTTTTGTTCAAGATATACAAAGATAGGTGAGTTGGACAGTACCGATGATGCATTTTCTATTGACAATTCCCAAGGCGAGCACTGGCGATCTTCCATGTTTGCATCAAATGGGATGCACAAAGGAGGCATCGGAGGTCCAGACTGATTGTAATAGCGGTCTTGACCTGGAGATGGGTTTGTATTGGCAACAGCATAGACAAAGGTGTTTACAACAGTCACGATGCTGTTGATGACAACTTTACTCTGTGCAAGAGTCTGGTTGGTTGTTTGCTGATCAACGCATGGGAGGATGCTGCTGAGAGCTGTTTCAGCGTGAGGATGATCAACCCATTCCTTCATGGCTACACACGTATCTGAAATTGCACTGGACACCAAACCCATGACATTTAGTAAACTACATTTGCGAGTCGACTTAATAAGGCAAGGGAAAACAAACAATCGAACAGCTAAATCTTACTTGTTTAGGATCAGAAAGACTCCACAGAGAACAAATGTCACAGCAACCAGTATCCACCCACTCACGACGAATCTATCATCATATACATCCCCATCAGTCAGGCTACCATTTATCTTAAATCACTAGAAATTAAAGAAAATGAAGATGTTGGAGTTTAAAGGGCTCACATATGAACAACATGTTGGTGGCGGAGGACAGAAAGCACTGTAATAACGCAAATAACAGATAAAAAGTTCAACTCAAGTGGATGTCACAGGTAATCAAAAGGAAATACCAAAGAACCATATAAACATAAACTGGACTTACATAGACCAACAAAAGAAAGGATGAGCATCACAGTAGCGACCGTGATCAAAGCTGATCGCCTGAAAATGTGCATATACAAAGTTAGTATTAACACTTTTTGGTACCGTTCAGCTCACAATACAGGGTAACTTACACAGCATAGACAACTCTCTTTATCTTAGCAGCAGTATCTGGTGTTTTCTCTCCCAATGTTACTGCTGCATTGTTCAGATTGACATTTAACTTGTCAATTTCATCCATTACATTTGGCGGAATGGAAATCGCTGTCACGTTAATCGTTTTTGCGAGGGACAGATATTGAGTCACATTCTGGAGGATCTCCACAGTGTAGTCAGACTGGTTAACCACATACTTAAGAGTACGCATAGCTTCGGTATGAAACTTATCCTGTCCAACAGATAAAAGAATGCATCCCACCCTGCAAAAGACCACCAGTACAATCTCAGGAACAACAAATTTCAAATGACAGAGAACCAAAAACGATATGAGAGAGTTGAGAATATTACGCTGCAACACACGTAAACACTATCAACAAAATGAAACAGAATCTTCGTGAATCGAATGATGATCCTTTAGCTTTAACACATAGTCTCCATTTGAAGCAATGATACACAACAAGAAGAGAGCCAAAAGACAAGAGCCAGATAACAGCTAGAATGAAACCAGGAGCACCTGTAAATCCAACAGACTGCAAACAGATGGCAATTACTAACAGATCCTAGAACTAAAGAAAATCGGAGAAGAGGAGACTTACAGCCCAATAGTGATTATTGGTGATGTTCCAACCGCCATGGTAAGGCTTAAAAGCTCTAAGAATGTCAGGTCTCTTGGTTCTATGAGCTGCTAAGAGGAGGTAATCAGAGACGACATCATCAGATGAAGGTCCTGGTGCTAATGAGATTCCACCTTTCCATGATCCAAAATTCGGTGAGCCTAGCAGAACCAAATTACATAATCAGAATTCCAAAACAAACTTCATCACCATTCTATAATCTTGCTTGATACAACCAGAACAATAAGAAACCTAGAACCGCGACGAAATTTCTAGAAACGAAACATCGAAAAATCGCATCAGTGTAAAAGAAAACAGAAAGTGAGAGGAGAAACCTAATATGAGTTTGAGAGGATCCTGTGAAGCGGCAACAGATGAATCAACGGAATGCGGAAGAGAGAAGAAAGCGAAAGCAACGAAAACGACGACGGAGAGGATAAAGAAGTTCATCCTCTTCTTCTTCCTCAGTCACTGGATGAAACGAGTTCGAGGCATGAGAGAGAGAGAGTAAAAATCAAATCAGGAAATGGTCAGATCGGAGAAGAAGCCATTGTTAAAGCTCGAAAACGCGGGTGAGGAAGAGAGATGTATCCCCGCGCTTACGCTTATTACGGCTTTAAGCTGATTTTTTTGGCTCTCTCTTTTCAATGAGGAAAGTGAAAAAGAAGAAGAGTGCTTTATTAGGAGGCGTCGTAGAAGTATCTTTCTCTCTCTTTTGTCCTTTTCCACTTTTCTTGTTTTCACACGCACACCTTTATATTCAATTCATGAATTTGAGTAAAGATAACTAAACAAATAAAGATGATGGATTTAGTTGTATAACAACTTGTGCTTAAACAGGAATTGTTAGGTATTAAAATTGGTAAAGCATATTGTGTTTATATAGCAACAAATCTGAGAGAGATAAGAAGAGTAATTTATTAGTATTTTTTTTTTTTTTTAAAGCATTTTTGCAACAATTAATGATTTGGTTATTCTGTTAGAAGCATGGTTGTTTAAAAATTAAGATTCAATTAATTTTGATTGTGCACTTTGATAAGTGGGTCCTGTTTGGGGACTTGACTCGATAACGCGGTGGTGGCGTCCCTTCCCTCCGTCTCGGTGTCTCTAGTGGCTGTTTCTTCTGTAACCACGTGGACCTTTAATCGGATTCGGGACGCTACTACATTTATTGGACCTATTAATATCCAAGACTCATGTGTTTTTTTTTTTTTTTTTTTTTTTTGACTATGGGTTTTGTGTATTTTGCCAGAAATTTGTATTAGTTCTTCTTAATCATGCATTGTTTTGTGTCCATACATTTCACCTAAATATCGCCATTACAATTTTAACAATATGCCCCGTTTGTATTTTCTTTTTTTCAAGAAGTTCTGAATCTAACTAATAAACTCGAAAGAAAAAGAAAAAAACCGGCAAATGAGTAAAGTCGTAGGTGTTTAAATTCATGAATTTTTAAAAAATCAGTATATCGATTGAGTTACTAACGTTGATATGTCGTGTTTGTTTGATTAAAGAAAAATAGCGGTTATTTTCTCAGTTTAGGCCAAATCATTTATTGAGAAATTGAATTTAGGACATGAGTTTTCACATGGATTGCGTGTTTCTATGTCACATGAGTAGTGTTATTGTAGGTTGCCTTCAAGAGTTACGTGAGAAAGAATTTTCATACATAATTTTTGCCAAGTAATTTCCAGGCAAAAAAAGGCATTGTTGATTGTGTAGTATACTGTATAATTGTATATTGTTTAACAAATATTTGCTTTTGGACTTTGCTTACTTTGCTTTTAGACTTTGAATTTTACCATAACTTGCGGTTTCGGTTATGGGATCTCAAGACTTTTTAGACTCTTCCTAGTGACGGCACCGCTTTTCTCCACATTGACGGAAATTAAACTTTTCTTTTCTTTGCTTTTGACGTCGGCAATTAAACTATTAAAGTGTCCACTCCAATGCCTTCATTTTTGTAGAACTATTTTGGGATATTTTACAACTAACAAAGAGCTATATTACAAAAAAGCTGATTACAAATTTATACCTAAATCACTTTAATGTGTATGAGTGGGTTTGGTATTTGACATACGTCTCTACTTTTTTTCTTTCATACCAAAAAAAAAAAAAAGTGTATATCTTATATGAAAAGTTATCCTTTCTAACATTAAATAAGATCCTAATCTTTTTTTCTATTCAATATATGTTTGGTTGTGATTCATAAAATATTAACATGCCATTGGAGTGGGTTATTTGGTAGAGTCAAGAGTGTTCAAATGCGTGAGGAAGCATGTGTGAGGATCATGTGAACCCAAAATGTGTTAGATCTGTTTTTATTGAGGATGCATCTTTCTTGCTATGTGCCAAAAATAACCCATAACATGATATTTTTGTTCTCCCATTAAAATATTTGAAAAGTGTCTATTTTTTCAATTTCTTTTGTTATCTTGTCTACCTAAACTCAGATTTCATATAAACGAATTTGAAGATCTAGGTGAAGGCGATGTCGCGACTATATGGATTTTTAAAATATTCATATTACTTGACTAGTAGAAAAAAATGGCAGAATTAATTACCATTTAAATTATTTTCTTCACATTGTTCTACGATGACTTATGAATTGGTTTTCTTAATTTTCTTCAGTATTAGTCTGTAAATGTTACACGAATATTCTCTAGTGAAATTAAAATCTAAGAAAAAACCAAACAAGTTGAGCAATATATCGATTGTTGATGAGATTTGGCTGCCAACATATCGATTGTTGTCAAATTGCATTCGATGCAAGTTGAGAATAACTTTATAACCAAAAGCCCATTGGTCTATGAAAAAGGCCCATTATGCCGTTTTGTTTGTCACTTGGTCATTTCATTACACGAAACTACACCACAACTTGCTCAAGTTTCAGTAACACAAGACACAAGCGTAATGGATTCGACAGTGACGGCTAATTTCTTAGAGCTTTATCTATATTCCCGAAACACCAATGAAGATTGAAGAGCCTCCACAATTATCCTGGTTCTTTGGTAAGTTGTAGTGATATTTTTACTACAGATTCGGGTCCTTAAGAAATTGTCACAATTCGAACATTTTGCCATTTTGGGACAGACTCGGTAAATATTACTAAAAGTTTCCAGACACTTAAATAGAGTAATACTAGTGTCCTTTAGGAATAATACAAATTTCGGGATAAAGTTTCAGACACACCTTTAGGTGTTTAACAAGTTTCAGTTTAATCTAAAGATTTATGTTTCGTTCTTGTCTTCTTTAAAAGAGAAGAGATACTATCTCTTACTCTGTTTCATCATTCCTTCAAAATACCAACATGGTATCAGAGCTTATCTTGGTCTTGGAGCCTGTCCAAGTACAATCAAGAATAAGAAATATTCCGCTGCGAGAAGAAGAGAAAGATGGAGACAACACACTAGTGATGAGAAACAGAACAGAAAAAAAAAAAGAAGAAGAAGAAACAGAAAGAGAGAAAAAGAAGAGGTGGTGACAAGAGAGAGTACCATCAACCTTCACAAACATATTCACAAGCAATACCTTCAAGAAGAAGGCTCCAAAAGCGATGAAGAAGATAGAAAATCTTCTCTAAAGGCAATGGAGAAAACGGATGTGGATTTGGAGTTGTTGAAGGAGAATTCTGAAACTTTGTTCAACAAGGTCTTGGTGAAGTTCAAGGATGCAAAGAAGGCATCACTTGATGAAGTTGAGATCGGAAGAGTTCTTCAACTGAAACAAGACGGAGGTAGTCGCCTGTTGTAAGAAACAGTGCAAGGCTTACTATCAAAAGGTGTTGTTGAGTCTTGAAGAAGACTACAACACGGAGTAAGTCGCTGTTAGAATCGCCTTTCTTCTTTTTTTTTTGTGTTTTACTCTTGTCCTCTCTCAATCGAATAGCTCTGATACCATGTTGGATAATTGAGTTTTGTGTTTACGATAGTGAAAGAGAAAAAACAGAGTATGAATGTAATTGACTTTATTGATCTGAAAACTTGATTGTATTACACTCTGTTATGTTTAAAAGACAAAGACTCGATCTATACTTATATGAAACGAAACGTTGTGTTTGTGTAATAATAAAAAGACATGACTCTTTGATCTAAAGACACAACTGTAAAACAAAACAACTTGTGTCTCTTGAACAAATAACTAACTTATGTAAATGTGATATGATACGAGATTTGATTATCCTTCAACAGAGAAAAGTATGTTTCAAAAAGAAAAAACAAACATAGCGACAAAAGTCAAAATAAGGCCGAGAAATGGTGTGACTTTTGTACGTGTGACAATCGTAATGAGAGTGATTGTTGGAGAAAGCAACACAGGGATGTTAGCTTGCCTACGAGTGTAAGGTGCTTTGCGTGTAACAAGCCAGGGCACGTGGTGAAATTGTTCACGCACAAGACGTCATGGAGACGTGAAGGTGATCAAAAGAGGACACCAAACGAGGCTAGTGAAAAAGGAAGCAAAGGCCGGTTGCAAAGAAAACCGGAGAAGACGGGAAGATGTGCACGCACAAATTTGGTGATCAAGAGGACGCCGAAAGGGAATAAGAAGAAAACTCACCTAAGAGAAAGGGAGTGGAAGAAGTTTGCAAGAACAACCGACGAAGACATGATGATGGAAGTCCATGGAGAAGATGTTCTGGGAAAGAGATATCCCAAGAGATCTTATGTCAAAAGAAAAACAATACAATTGACAAAAGAGTGTCAAATTGTGCAACAAAGAGAAGAACAAAAGAAGAAGCTTGGAGTAAAACAGAAACTCAATTAAGGGGGAGTGCTGGTTGATAATTGAGTTTTTCAGTTAACCGTTGTACCGTTTCGGTTTATGTTGTTTAACTCGAGAGACACAAGTAGGAAGAGACACAACTCTTCACGTGTTGTGTCTATTTGTTATCTATTTAAACTCATTGTATCGTCATGTAAATAACAACAAGTTTAAGATTCATTTAAAAGTGTTCCTAGTTCTGGAAAATACTAGAAATAGTAATACTTATTCAATATCAAAAGTTTTGGGGCAAATCAGTATATAGCAGAAGTTCAAGGAGATTTTAAAAAATAGTAAGAGTTCCTGGCTTTTTTGTAGATTGAAAACGTTCCGGGACGATTTGGTAAATACCACAAGCTCTAGGGGCAATGTAGTAACAGTCGGCAATGAGTCAAAATTCTACAAATTAAAAAAAAATTCTAAGCCAACAATGATGATTTCTAATAAAGAAATTGGATTGAAAAAAAAAAAAAAAAAAAAATTCTAAGCCAATAGGAGAAAAGGGTTTACAGAACCAGAGCATCCATCGAAAATCAAAAATCAAACCATAAACCCTAATTTTTCAAATGACTCTTTTATCCAAACCTATCCTTGACGGTTACACCGAATTTCCCGGCGACGATCAACGTCGTCGCCATTCCCAGAAACATCCCATGCTCCACTACTCCGGGAAACCTCAATATCGCCTCACTCGCCACCTCTAAATCTCCAATATCTCTCTCCAAATACAAATCCACCACATAATTTCCATTATCCGTCACAGCCGGCGTCGCATCTCCGCCGTTAGATCCAATCTTCATCCTAAGCTTCGCAACGCATCCCGCTTCTCTGAAAAGCTCTTCCAATTTCCCCCGTGTGAAATCGCAGCAGAACGGAACAACCTCCACCGGAACAGCGAGTCCACTTCCTCCGATGTACTTCACAAGCTTCGATTCATCAACAATCACAACGAACTTTTTAGATGCTCCTTCTATCATCTTCTCCCTCAATAACGATCCGCCGCGTCCTTTCACCAGATTAAGAGCCGGATCGACTTCGTCGGCGCCATCGATTGATAGATCCACCACCGGATGCGAATCTAGATCGGATAACGGTATCCCTAAAGACACCGCTTGCTCATGCGTTGTGGTTGAAGTAGGGATTCCGATTATATCCTTGAGTTTTCCTTCTTGGAGAAGCTCGCTGATACGAGCCACGGCGTGTTTGGCGGTGGAGCCAGTGCCGAGACCGATTACCATTCCAGATTCGACGAATTCGACGGCTTTATAAGCGGCGATTTTCTTGAGTTCTTCTTGTGTGAGGTTTGAGAGAGGCGCCGGCGAGTTGACGACGGCGGAATCCTCAGTGGCCGTGACAAAGGGATCGAAAGCAGAACCCATTGTACGCGACTTACTTTGTGATTTGAATGCACAAATCTGTGAGAGATTATAAAGACTAAAAACTTAGAATCGTATTCGTATTTGACGGTTCTTTTTTGGACAAGTAAAGACCATTTTAAAAGGTTAGGCTAAATTTATAGACAAGGAAATTTCTGAATTCTGAAAAGATTATCTTTGAAGTATTTGAAATTTGAATTTTATACATCATTAACTCTATGATTTTGGTGTTACCAATCAGGAGCCAACATAATCAGAGGCCATGCCACTTGGAGGTAACTAAATGGTGAGAAGAGAGGCATGATTTTTATAGCAAAAACTTACTTCCATTTCCATAAAGTCTGATCTTGATTCTTCAACGAAGCCAAAAATATTTAGGATTTCTCTGAAAATATTAATTAAAAGATTCACATTCCAAGAAATAACACGTTTTTCTGTAAGTTCCACGCATATTCCAATCCCACACAAGAGCATCTCTCGAAAGCAGCCTTTCTCCACCATTGGATATTATGACGGTCCAATATCTTTGATTTCTTTTGTTTAAAATTCTACTATAATAAAGGTCACTGTTCCGTGTTTATTACATAACCCATCCAAAACCATGTGAATACGATGATGCTCTATTTAAAAGATTATTTACGCCAGGAAATAAGATCATGCAAGTGCACGGTTCATGCCATTGTTGGTACAAAACTCCACCAACACACACAATTGAGTTAGCAAATGGGTCTGATTATTATTCACCAACACACACAATTGAAATTCAATGTATTGATAACATCACATTCTTTACAAACAAGTTGATTTTTTTTTCTTTTTTATACTCAGATTTATGGCATACCTTGGACAGTATTCTCAACGGTGAGTTTGAAGAAGATGACAATGTAGAACGTAAGAGACAACAGTGCAAAGATGTGTTGCCAGAATAGAAGTGCTGAGGCTTCTCTAACCGCGTAACCTCTTAGACTCGCGATGGCTCCAAGTAAAATGGCACTCGGAGTCGAATACTGCAGAAGAAGCACAAACTTGAACATTGGATCAGCTGAGGAAATGAGACCAAGTTTATCAGCTGACATCACAATTCCTATTCCCACTAAAGGAAGAACCAGGAGTCTTGCAACACTTATCCCGATCGTTGTACGTAATCCAAGAGTTGATTCATTTGGTCCTTCAGAGAGCATACCACCAAGGACAAGCATCACAGAGGGAACCATTGCGCTCCCCATTATATTCAGACTATCTGTGATGAAAGAAAGTGGAGCATCATACCCAAAGACTACACTTTTCAGCTGAGGCACTGATCCGATAATGATTGCTAATAGAGATGCGATTGTTGGAGGTTGGAGTATGTGTCTGACTGGAGTCTGTTCAGCCACGACTCTCATTCTCCTCACCACTCTCGGCTCAGCCAAGCATTGAATAGATCTAGGACTGGAACTCTCTCCTCCATTTTCTCCCCCGAAATCAACTTCAGGCAAAGAAGCCTGGGAGACACTCGATATGCTGTTGAAGACCCTGGCAATGAACGGGGTCTTACAATGTTCGGTCTCTTTGTCCTCGATCCCTGGCCATTCAGCTACCACTAGAAGTGGCCTACTAACATCATGATTCTCCACATTGATTTCCTCTATCTCAACCCCTTCTCCCTCAACAACCTCATAGTACTCCAAAGGCGGCTCCATCATATGATACACAACAGTATAAACAAGAATCACAGCAACCCATTGCGCAAACGATACATACGAAACTCCTCTCGAATTACAACTCGGCCCAAAAGGGTTCGCCTTCGTGTGACACACCGAGCTAACAATAGCTAACAAAAGATTCCCAGTATTTCCAAAAGCAGTCATAACAATGGTGAATCTATTAAACTCTGGAGGAGGTCTGCATATGAGAACAACCAAGTATCCTATCAAGGACCCAATGACCGCACTGAGTAACACGTTGACCGGTATAAACCACCACTGAACAATGTTCTCAAGAGTAATGCTTTCTCCAAGCTCAGTAAAAATCAAACAGGGCAAGAACAAAGCAAACACAAGCTTGCTTAAGAGCCTAAACGTGGCTCTTGGGACTAACTGAGTCTTGGGATGAGCAAGAAGCAGACCAATCACGGTTAAACAGATAAGCTTCAACAAAGGCACAACACCACTGAGAATATCCACAACCCTAGAATTAACATTTCCACCGGAGAAACCTGACATATTAATCTCACTGTGTAAACCTCGAAGTCAACGATAGAAAAACACAAACAATGACCAAATTGGGGATTTAAACCACAACCCAAGCAATTGAATGACACAAACTATACACAGCAGTGAAAAATCTGGATCAGCAAGTAGAAGAACACCAAAAATTGATTAGACCACAATCAAGAAGATTGCTGGGTAGAGATAAAGCCGATGAGAGAAGAACACCTGGAGCGACACAATATACATGGAACTTGTCAATGAAGAAGACGACAAGATTGCAAGGACAGATGTATCATCCACGCCAAAATTTACTGATTGCAATAATTTGGTTTCTTGAAGTTTCTTCTTGATTTGAAAACTTAATATTTATCACATCGGACGGAAGAAGAAGATAATCTGTGGTTGGACGATAGTCACGATACCGTCAAAAGATTATCCATTGGGCTAACGACAACACTAGCTAAAAAGAAGCCCAATAATAAGCCCATTAATGCGTCAATGAATCGATTAAAATATCAAACCGAACACTAGCGGCTGATGACCGGTCATTTCCGGTTTAATGTTAAATCTGAACAAGACGACAAAAGGGAAGATCAGTAATCGCACGTGGGAATAAAATAGCTGCCACAAACCGTACAGGTCCACGAGGAATCCATCACCAGACTTACTGACACGCGTCCGTACATAATTGGTTAATAAGATTAAAAAGCATGAATCGGCGGGTACCGGATCCAAAATTTCTGATCTCGGATTCGTCTTCTCTGCCCTAAAGAAAAACCCTACGTGAGCTGCGTCAGTTCTGGGTCCTCCGCAATTTGAGAATCGGAGAGACCTCAAGTTTCGCGAAATCTCGTTGCGTCGATTTGATCTTCGTCTTCCTGATCGATGGATTCACCTTGATCAATCGTTAATCGAGCTTCGAAGATGTCAAATCACTCCATAGATGAACCCAGTACCGCCCCGAAGACAGATCAATGGTATGATCTTGTCCTTGGTTCATCTGCCAAAGATGATTCCTCCCATAAATTCTGCACTTTGCGATGTGAGTTTCTGGTTTTGCGATTATGTGACCTTTCTTAATTTTGGATTGATTAGACCTAAATTAGATATTTGATAATTGTTCAATTTAGTGAAGTTTATGCTGTATAAGAATTCATCAGAATGATTTTTTGTACTTGTAGATGAATTCAAGCCGGCTTCAATAGACAAGAACAGGTCAGGAACACTGCACAAGAAGAAGGATAACAGAGTTTCTGTTGAGTTTCAGAATAACCAACATGGTAAACCCAAGGTGACATTTGAAGGTAGTAGCGAGGATTACAAAGAACACGATGCGGTGTTGTTTTTCGATGGGGAGAAGTTTCGTTTGGAGAGGTTGCATCGAGCTGTGAAGCAGCTGCGACATCTTAGGACACCAGGTGAATCTGCTGCGGCTTCTTCTCAGGCTGCGATGCCTGTGGAGCATAATCGATTATCTCCTGTTGATCGTGCTGCTAAATCTCCACAAGTGAATAGAAGTTTGCTTCCAGATGTGCCTGTGAGTTTCCGAATGTCTTTTACTTGTTCCTTATCCAATTTGATGGTGTTCAGGTTATGGATTTATTGAATGCTTGATGGTATAAAATGTTGCTGTTACTGGTTTAAGTTTTCTTTTTCTGTAATGTCTGCAGGTTGAGGTGGAAAGAATCGAAATTGGGAAGCCAGAGAACTCAGGTTAGCACTTATTGCAGTGATGTATTCATATGATTTACCATTCTTGGATCATAGGGCACACTGCGTAATTTGAACAAAACTCAATCTTAATACAAGGCAAACTTATCGTAGTTCTTAGTATTTGTTAGTCTCGTTGGCATAAGACATAGTTGGCTGAGTTTGGCTGCTAGTACATAGACGTCTGATTTCCAAATGAAACCACAGTTCTCTTCCCAATTCGACTTCTACCTCTAAATGCGTTATGATTATTCGGTTCTGTATTGGTGTAGTCAAATGAGACTATAGATAGGAATATCAAACTGTTGATTAAAGTTTACACATCCGCTCTACTGTTTCTAAGCATGTATTTGGTATTTCTGGTCTTTGATTTAAAACTATTGTAGCAGTTTTAAAATCTAACAGAAAAAGTGGTGGTTGCAGCTGAACCTGCCATCGCTGGAAACGTATCTGCTGCCTCACCAGTTGATGACAAGAACGATGATGGAGATGAACATCACGAGATCGATCTGATTGAAATATTTGGCTCATTTACACCAGAGAACGACAATGTAGAGAAAGAGAATGCTGATGGTGGAGAATATGTCGAAAGCTTAAACAAACAGCTTAGCATGACGGAAGAAGAGATTGCAGATGTAGATGACGATAGCGGCGGTGAAGGAGAAAAAGGTCTAAACGCAGCAGAAGCACTTAGAGCACAAGTGAACGCAGAGGTGCAAAAGAGTCAAACCTCAAGCTCAACCAGTAGCAGTGGAAGCAGCAGCGGAAGTGACAGTGATGGTCGTAGCAAAAGCGTAAGCAGCGGAAGTGGCAGTGGCGGCCAAAGCAGTAGCGGAAGCAGTAGCCGTGGAAGTGGAGGAAGTGACGATGAAGATGAAGTCAACTCCGTGTAACAGACAACAACAATAACAGCTCCAACAACTTTGTATCAAACAATATTTCCATATTTAAGACACTTGTGTCTGAATAATTAGTCGAAGAATCCCAAAAGGGTAAAAAATTTATGTTTTACTACGAAAGAGGTAGCAAATATAAATGATCCAAAGGTTTGTTTAGTTACTATTTCAGGAGTTGCAATTTACCATTTTTAAAATCCAGAATCTTGTGTTTAAAGCTGTCTTTGTCCAGTCTTTAATTAATTAATTAGTAAAGTAAATCTTCTCCTCGACTGGTTAACCACCCGACCACAACTCCCTTCACTTTTATTCTCACTCTCTGTAGTAAGCACGTGAATATCACGAAGGTATCTCATGTATTGTCTTTCTTTGTCTAAAATAGCGTGTATAACACGCGCTTGAATTTGGGAGTGGTGGAGGAAAGTTTGGCTATTACTGTTAAGTGTTAACAATGGAGTTATTAAAAGTTTTTGCCAAAGTTTTTTTTTTCCCAACCGACCGAGTCGGAACGGAGATCGAAGTTTTGTACCTGAGAACCTCGTTGTCTTCTTCTTCAAAGCCTCCAAAGTCCAAATCTTTTTGGTTACGTCTCTCAAACCCTAATCTTTATTTCTCACTCTCTCTCTCCCACTCTCCATTTTTCTCTGCTTCAATTATCATTGGCTTCTTCTTGAGATCTCCTCGGGCTCTGATCCCAATCTATGCTCGATCTCACTCACACCGAGATCTCATCTTCCTCCATATTTCAAAGATCCATATATGAGCTCTAAAACCACAGATTTGAATCTGTGAATCCACATATATGCTCAATCGGAGCCAGATTCTAACAAATCAAAGGTGAAAGAAGAAAGAAGTGAAGAACAATGGGAGCTGAAAAGAAATGGCTTTTCACACTCTTCTCTGTAGTATTTCTCTCAGTGTTCCTTCTCTTACTTTACTCAATCTCTGCTTTTACCTCTAAACCATTCCCTTCTTCAATCCGTCACGGTGCTCATTACCCACCAGCTTTCGCTTATTACATAACCGGTGGTCGTGGAGATAATGACCGGATCTTTCGGTTATTGCTCGCGGTTTATCATCCTAGGAATCGGTATCTTCTCCATCTAGGTGCTGAAGCTACTGATGCTGAGAGGCTTGCTCTTCTCTCGGATTTGAAATCTGTTCCTGCTGTGAATGCTTTTGGGAATGTTGATGTTTTAGGGAAAGTTGATCGTTTGTCTGAGAATGGTGCTTCTAAGATTGCTTCTACTCTTCACGCTGTTTCTATTCTTCTTAAGCTTGATCGTACTTGGAATTGGTTTATTGAGCTTAGTGCTTTGGATTATCCTCTCATTACTCAAGATGGTATGTTTAAATTTTAATTCTTTCTATTTTAATCTGAAACTATACAAGAAACTAGCTTTAGGCTTGCTTTGTGATTGTGATTCATTTGCACTCTAGATCTTTGTTTTTGAGCTTGTTAGCTTCTTGAGATTGCAGTGTTCATGATATACTCTAGAATCAATCTACTCTTATTTTGGAAATAAAGTAGAAATGTAATCACTTTCATTGATGATGACACTGATCTCTTTATGGCAAATATTGTTGCTTTAGAACTTTATTACTCAACAGCTTCTGTGTTTGTCTTCATCTGACCTGGATTCTAATAAATTTTCATCTCTCATGATTTCTCTCAGACCTATCTCATGTGTTTGCCTCAGTGAATAGAAGCCTCAATTTTATTGATCACACTAGTGACCTTGCTTGGAAAGAGTAAGTAAAGAACTTTTGCCAGTCTTCTTGCAATGTTTTTTTATTAAATGTACTTGTGATTGGGATTATTATGATAATGGATTTTTCTGTAGAGCTCAGAGAATCAAGCCTATTGTTGTTGATCCAGCACTTTACTTAGCTAGAAGAACTCAGCTATTCACTGCTACCGAGAAACGACCAACACCAGATGCGTTCAAAGTCTTTACAGGCAAAAGATTCAGTAGCTAATAACACTTTTTGTGGTTACATTCCTAATATGTATACAGTTTCATTCTAACCAAATTGGCGTGTGGTTCTGGTTTGTGATATTACTGCAGGCTCGCCTTGGATTGTACTGAGTAGATCTTTCCTAGAATACTGCATCTTCGGTTGGGACAATTTACCGAGAGTCCTTCTGATGTATTTTAACAATGTCATTCTCTCTGAAGAATGCTATTTCCACACAGTGATATGCAACGCACCCGAGTTCAGTAACACGACAGTCAACGGGGACTTACGATACATGATATGGGACAGTCCACCAAAGATGGAACCACACTTCCTTACTGTATCAGATTTCGAACAAATGGCTCAAAGCGGAGCAGCTTTCGCCAGACAGTTCAAGAAAGACGATCCAGTACTCGACATGGTCGATAGAGAGATCCTGAAACGTGGGCGTTACCGTGTCACTCCTGGCGCTTGGTGCTCGAGCCACAGTAGCTGGTGGACAGATCCTTGCTCGGAATGGGATGAAGTCAACATTGTCAAAGCTGGACCTCAAGCTAAGAAGCTAGACGAAACAATAACGAATTTTCTTGATGATTTGAATTCACAATCGAATCAATGCAAGTGATTATACGACACACGACACGAGAATACATTGTTTTCAGTCTCTGTAAGGTTAATTCTTTGAGCAACAACAACAACAACAACACAGTGGCTGATGTATTTATACGAGGAGAAGGAGCAGAGAATAGAAAGGAGAGATTTTTTTTATCTTTCCTAGATTTTGTAATTCCTTTGTTAAAGCCACTTGAGAACTTTTTGTTCGCAAATTCGATGAACTTTTTTGTTCCTCTGTTGTAATCTTTATAACGGTACTCGACCAAATGCGATTATCCCTTAGTTTATTGAAAGTAAAAATCTAAACTTTCTCCTCCAATGGTCTTCTCTCGATTCTTCAGCTCCGCCGGAGTGAATCTCTCTCGCCGTGTCTACTTAAGAATCTCTTCTTCTTCGTCCTCAAGCTTGAGTCTCGAATCGATTCCATGGATTCATAAAGCTTCAAATTTTACAGTTTATGGATCATTTCACGCTTCTTCTGTTGAAACCCAAGTTTCTGCTAATGATGTTTCACAAGACGCTGATAAAATCTGCAAAATTCTGTCCAAATTCACGGATTCAAAGGTTGAAACTTTGCTCAACGAAGCTTCTGTTAAACTCTCGCCGGCACTAATCGAAGAAGTACTGAAGAAGCTAAGCAACGCTGGGGTTTTAGCTTTATCTGTATTCAAATGGGCAGAGAATCAAAAGGGTTTCAAGCACACTACTTCAAACTACAACGCATTGATTGAATCATTAGGTAAGATCAAGCAATTCAAACTCATTTGGAATCTTGTAGACGACATGAAACAAAAGAAGCTTTTGAGCAAAGACACGTTTGCTCTCATTTCTAGACGTTACGCTAGAGCTAGGAAGGTTAAAGAAGCTATAACTGCGTTTCATAAGATGGAAGATTATGGGTTTAAGATGGAATCAAGTGATTTCAATCGTATGCTTGATATTTTGAGCAAATCTAGAAATGTTGGAGATGCACAGAAGGTGTTCGATAAAATGAAAAAGAAAAGGTTTGAGCCTGATATTAAGTCTTATACTATTTTACTTGAAGGTTGGGGTCAGGAGTTGAATCTTTTGAGAGTTAATGAGGTTTATGGAGAGATGAAAGACGAAGGTTTTGAACCGGATGTGGTTGCGTACGGTATCATTATCAATGCGTATTGCAAGGCGAAAAAGTATGATGAAGCTGTTAGATTCTTCAATGAGATGGAACAGAGGAATTGTAAGCCGAGTCCTCACATTTTCTGTAGTCTGATTAATGGACTTGGCTCTGAGAAGAAGCTGAATGATGCTCTTGAATTCTTTGAGAGGTCAAAGAGTTCCGGGTTTCCTCTTGAAGCTCCTACTTACAATGCACTAGTTGGAGCTTATTGCTGGTCACAGCGAATGGAAGACGCATTTAAAACCGTGGATGAGATGAGATCGAAAGGGATTGGCCCAAATGCTAGAACTTATGATATAATTCTTCATCATTTGATTAGAATGCAGCGCACAAAAGAAGCCTATGAAGTTTATCAGAAGATGAGTTGTGAACCGACGGTGAGTACTTATGAGATCATGGTGAGGATGTTTTGCAACAAAGAGAGATTGGATATGGCGATCAAGATTTGGGACGAGATGAAAGGAAAAGGTGTTCTTCCGGGAATGCACATGTTCTCAAGTTTGATCACAGCTCTGTGCCATGAGAATAAATTAGACGAAGCTTGTGAGTATTTCAATGAGATGTTGGATGTTGGTATTAGGCCACCGGGACATTTGTTTAGCCGTCTTAAACAAACGCTTCTCGATGAAGGCCGGAAAGATAAAGTCGCGGATTTGGCTGTAAAGATGGATAGGCTGAGGAAAACCCAACTTGTTGGCTGAAACCCGTTTTCACGGCTCTGTTTTCTCTTCTTGTTTATCTCTTTTACTACATTTTGTTTCATCTTTTTGGACTATTGAATTGTTATGATCTATGATCTATTCAAAATTTCAGAGATCTGAGCATCTAGAGACTGTTTTCTCTCCGAGCAAAAGTGCACGGACACAGTTGTATGATGTAGTACCATATAGAAAATTCACTACCAGAGTGTGAGATGTTTTGGTATATAGTTATTTCGTTAGGAGTCTTATGACAAATGACAAGTCAATGTTGTTTTTTTTCTTTTTCTTTTTTTCACCTAATCATTTTCATAATATAATACAAAAAAAAAATACATGGGTGGAATACGTTTTTGAAATACCTAGCGGGCAAAAAAACAAAGAAATCTCCGGAAACTAAAACCCGATTCGCGGGAAACACAAAATAGAATACATGACACTAAGAGAACCATAACACTTAGAAAAAGAAAGCGGAACTCGGAAACAAAGGAAGATCAAACAATAAAACAACGGAAGAGGCAAGGAATCCTATAAAACTAAGGAGAAGAATGAAACAAACCAATCCGACGACCACTTCTACATTTGAGCCAAGGACAAGTCAATGTTGTTAAACTAACAAGAATGGGTCAAAGTAATTGATTGGGCTATAACATAACGGCTTTTTCTTATCACAAACACAGTGTAGATAGTTAAAAAGAGTTGTTAATTTTTTTATTATTTTTTGTAAATGGAGGATGTGGACACGCATATATCCATTGATGATTAAATTACCGGACTGGGCCTTTTTGGACACAAAATTACGGAATCCGGTACGATGCCGGAACTTTCGTTTTAGGTATTTTCACCTGCGAGGAAATATCCACCTTGCCCTCACGCTTAAGCTCTCTCGCCTCCCAAAATCCTCGTCTCAGCGAAAATCAAACAAAAATTTGAGATCGTCTTTCATGATGGAAAAACCCTCGGAGAATATGCTTAGAAGATCCAGAAAAGGATTGGTAGCTTTATTCGTCAAAGAGATTCGTCAAGCTGCTGGATTCGTCGCTAATCTGAGGAACCGATGGTCAAAGTTCATCCGCCGAAAGCCAGCTCGTGTTACACTCCAATACGAAATGATTCACTCCTCATAATCAAAGGTAACTTCTCTCTATCCCTCCTCTCATTTTGCTGATTTCGAATGATTTTTTACTCTGCTTACTTTGCATCTTTGTCTCCGATTTTTTATTTTGTTGTTGCTTCTCTATAGCGTTGGAAGCCTTTTGGGAATTGCTTGATGTCGGGAGTATGTGAGCTCTCTTTCTTTGCATGAATCGTTATGTTTTTATTCTTACGGGAGAAACAAATCAAATTGGTTCTAGATTTCTATAGTAATTAGTTGTGGTGGTGTTATATCAGAGAGGTTTGGGGAAGATATATAAACACTGTGATTGTGGATAGTTGGTAACCTCAAGAACCTTTCTAAGAAATTGAAATCTTAGGGTTTTAGTCTGAAATTTAGATCTCTTGCTCTCTTTATTAGCAAATCCTTTGGTTGATTCATCTCTCCATGTGTGTACTTGATCCATCTTTTTGCATGTTCTCTGGAAAAAATAATTATCGTTCAAGGTATATCACGTTTTACTCATTATGACAATGGTCTTAGTTAAATAAAGAGTGAATTGCAGATCCAACAAGTAACCACCAGAACAATGATGGTGATAGAAATCAGCTTCTTGCTATGGATCTTCATATGGAAGACAATTCCCAGATGAGAATAACACTAAACACATGTTCTATAAGTGAAGCTTCTCAGATCTTGAGCGAAGGTATGAATCTGAACTCTCTTGTTAAACATTTAAGCGTATCAGGTCGTTTTTCTGTCAACTATTGCTAAGCTAAATATCTGATGAGTCAATGTTAATCTATGTCAACAAGCATTTTCTTGGGTTTCTTGGGTTCCCTCATTGTTGTAGTCTTTAGGGTATGATGTTATTTATTAAATGTGCGTTTAAGTCGGTTGCTTGGGTTCCCTCGTTGTGGTAGTCCTTAGGGTATAATGTTCTTTATTAAATGTGCGTTTAACTCGTGACAATATTATTCGATGTGTAGTTGTAGTTTCTATGAATTGTAAATTTGTATGATGATCTGATAAGGTGCAAAGAGTGTACTTTAGGAGAAAGAAGCATAATGAGAATGAAAGAGAAGTCGTGCAACGCATGTGTGCCGAGAAGAACTGAGGGAAGAAGAAATTTATAAATAGAGAAACAAGTGTGAAGAGAAATAGAGAAAGGCATGTGAATTGTGAGGATGGATCCGTCGGTATGAGACTGTGTGGTGAAGATAGAATCTGAGAGATGCGAGGATTCTAACTTCAATTTGTTCTTTGTTTCACATCATCTTGTTGCTATTGTTGTTCTTGAGACTCATTGTTGTACTTCTTTAAATCTAATATCAATTATCTTTGGAATTGTGTACAGAGGATTAAGAATAAGCAATTGAGTTTGAGTATTGAGTTCTTATCATGTTCTTCCTGAATATTCGTTTTACGTGGACGGTGCGACAAGTCTCCCGAGCAGTGAAGGATTTTCAATTTGCCATATCCCACCCAAATGAAGTGACGAGTCTCAGAGGGGTAATGTCGTCTTTCTACGCATTAAGAAAATGCTTAAAACTGAGGGAACGGGAAGAAATGCGTAAATTGAAAGTTTTGGGCTAGCAAATGCCTATTTAGACAATAACCCCATCCATTGATCAATGGGATAAAAGTCGAAAAATGCGCCAACTTTTAAATTTGGAACGATTAAAGCATGAACTCTCGAAATGTCTCTTTAATCACAAAGTTTCTGTTGACCTGTCTAAAAATAGCTAAGTTTTCGTTGACCTGGCCAAATTAGGCATCGCGTTAAGTCTCCGTTAGAACGATGCTGACGCTGTTAACAATCCGTTAGATTCTCCGTTCGATCAAAAGAAGTCGTTTTGAAGTTTTCAAACGACGTCGTTTCACCAGAAAATAAGAAGAAAAAATGGCATCTCCAAAGAATTGAACAGCTGACCTGTTACACTAATAAGAGAAACTCAACCATTGGGCTACGCAAACATTTTAATGTTAGTACAAACAGAACGTGTATATATACTAAAAACTGGTAACATAAATTAGGTAAAAATATACTCCCTCCGTTTTCGAATAGTAGTCGTTTTAGATAAAAAATTTTGTTTTTAATTAGTTGTCGTTTTCAGTTTTCGATGCAAAATTTATTACTTTTTTTATTTTTTATATTTATTTTTATTATGCAACTTGATTTACTATTGGTTAAATTATGTTTAGGTAGATAATTAATAATATTTTTATATTGAAAAACTAATAACATTAATAATTTCTTAATTTGTGTGCATATAGTTAAAAGGGAGACTCACAAAAATGCCCCTTTTTCAATACCCCTTTTCAAAAATGCCCCCTTTGGATGTCCATTTTTAAAATTACCCCTTATATGTACAAAATGACTAAATAACCCTTCTTTTAATAAAAGATATCATAAATATATAAGGAAATATAACAAAATTAGGTCCACAATATACAAAATATTTTTTGGAGGG